ATATATATTAAAATCATAAAATCCAAATTTAAGTTCAGGAATTAAATATATTTTAGAATTATTTCAAAATATATTTGGTTATGATGAAGATTTAGAATAAGATTATAGAATTCCTATGTTAGTATTAGTATTTTTACATTAAGTTTTATGTGTTAATTAATCAAGATATTAATCATTTGCAAAAGAATGTAGAACAACATATGCTTCTTTGATGCTTAAACTTTGTAGAGAAGTTTAAATTTGTTTAAATAAAAGATGTGAAAAATTCACTAAATTTTTATCAAATAAGAATGCTAAAATGTATATTACAAGAGAAACAGGATCAGCAATAGAATAATGTGTAATTGAGAATTGTGTTTTAGATGCAATAGAAGAATTAGTAATGTTAGAATATTTCTTAAAATTACTCATAAATGAAATGAAATAAGAATCTAAAGAAACAACTAAAGCATTTGGAGAATTAATAAAATTAATGTTTTAAAAACATTTCATAAGAGAATGGTATTTGTTATTAATCCAATTCAGTGATCATGTTGAATTTGCAAAATTCTTAAAACGTTAACCTGTAATAAAAAGTAATACAGTTTTCAATTATTTATCTAATTTTATTTATAGTTATGGTCGTGATTTTTAAATAGATAGTAATACTGTTAATTACATAGGTGGAAATGCAATTGCAACATAAAAATCTAATATTATGGCTTCATGGTTTACTTAATTGTTATCAACATTTAATCAATTATCTTAATTTGTTTAATTCTTTTTTTCAATTGGTTTAACAGGTTCTCCTTTTAGTGACAATTATTAAAAAGATTTATATGATGATAAAGAATTAGGAGATTCTATATTCTCTCCTAATAATGGAAGGGATATTATTGAAGGAGGAGTAGTAAAACTATTTGGTTAAGAAGATAATTAATATAGTGAAACAGAATATGCATTTAATGCTGGTTTGTATTTCTTATAAAAAGGAAGTTAAAGTATTTATGCACTTGATACATCTAAAATTCATGAAGAATTAATGATACCAGCAATGGAAATACTTAATCAAATATGTTGGTATAGTCAATAAGTAGTATGTAAATATAAGAGTATGAATTATAATAGAGAAACAGTATTAATGACATATGAAAAACTTAATACAATGAGTAAACATTAATTTGTCTTCTTCAAACGTATTCTGGAAATGAAATCTGTTTGCAATAATGAATTTAAAGGTAAATATAAGTAAGTGTTATTTACATGTTTTCATTCAATGTTATTGATATTATAAAGTGTAAAGGAAAGTTAATTATAAGAACCTTAAGATTTAGTATAAGTATTTCACTATTTCATATTATAAATTGATTTCAATGATCCTAATTGTAAATAATTAATAGGATAATTATCTTCTATTCTATCTGTGATATTAAATGTTTTCCCAGCTAATCCAGAATTATTAGATAAACCAAATGAAGGATTTTATGATATTGTTAATTTACAATTAGAAGCATTAAAGAATTAAAATAATTCTAAGATTTTTTAATCTATAATCTAATGTTGGATAGATATTATCACATTCAATATATCAAATAAAATAGATGTAAGATATTTAAAATCACTAACATTTATTGCAGATGAATAAATCTATAATTCTAATGAAAATGGATAATACAATAATAAACATTCTATGTGGTGTCATGTACTTGTATTGGTTAGAGAATTATTAGCTTATGATCAAACTTAATGTAGATCAATTTTAGAATTCTTTACTTCTCATGAATAAAGAATGCATTCTGCAATTATTTAAATTGATTAAACTTAATAATATTAATCACTCCGTTAATTTACAGCTGTTACTGGATTAACTCTTAAACATATTCAAACTTATTAATAGAGTTATATGCTCTTTTTTGAATTGTCTTAAATAACTTAATTCTTACTTGAATTAATCCTATGTAAAAATATGAGATTACAATTCAAATTACATTTAGATAAGATAATTTATACATTTATGGGATAATATAGTCAATAATTAGGATATCATAAGAAATTAAAGTAATTCTTCCAAAGCTTTAAACCATATACTTTATTAGAAACAAAACTTAACTAATTGTTTGCTAAACCTGAATCAATTAAAGCATCTGATTATTTTTCAATTCCATAATCTGCTTAAATGATGAAATAAAATTAAACTCCATCTCCTCATAGAACTAATCAAAGAGATTAAGCATCCAATTTTGATGGAAAATCAACATAAGGTGGTGGATAAAAATTTAATCTTAAAAGAGATGTTGATAATATTTCACTATTTTAATACATTTGTTTGGTTGAATATTTAAGATTCTCTCGTTTTAGCATTTAAGGAATAGCTGCTTCTATGAATATTTTTGAAGTGGATCGTAATTTCTAATTAGAAGATAATGTTTGGAATAGTTTTGGTAATAATATACAGAATTTCATATAATTTAATTTTGATGCATTTGCAAATCTATCCTAATCTGAATATATTAACAATTTAATTAAAATGCATTAATGGCTTTTGGGTAATTATGATTTCCAAATTTAATACAATGGACTCTAATAATTATGTGTTTATCCAAGTAATTATTTATATTATATATTCATAGCAAATAGAGATGAATTATTACAAATGTTTATCTAAAATATAATTTATGGTTTCTGTGCTGAGTTATAATATTTGTAATTGAGAGAAGTTCATAGAAAGATTAATTTTATCAAAGATTCATACAATATCGAAATCACACTGACCAAAGAACTATGTAATATATATATCTAATAATATAGGTAAATATGCTGAAACACTAAAACCTATTCAATTTGTAAAATAAATGGAAGCATAAGATCTATTAAATGAAGTATTATCTTTTGGTGAATATCCTATAAATGAAGCTAATGATAGCTACTTTAACAGATGGAAAACTAAATTTGAAGAAAAATTTTCAGAATATAAAAAAACATGATATACCCATATATATGATTATTATATAAGATAATGTATTATTCAAATATTTAATTATATTAAGTCTTTTTTTGTAAAATAATAAATATAAAAGATTGTTCATTTCTTGATATCATCAATTTCATTAGTATTTTAAATAGCTTTAACAATTATTTCTTTGAATTCTTTAAATTCGATCTAATTAAAATATAATTTACTTATCCATCTCCATTTTAATCAACTTCTTATATAAGATCTTTCCATACTTTTTCTGATACCTAAGAATTTTAACCAAATATTTATTTTATTTCATCAATAGATATTGTACCACTTCCATCTTTATCAAATAATTTAAATGCTTATTCTAATCTTTTATCCTCTATTAATTTTACCTTATTAAAAGTAGCCAAAACAAATTCTATAAATTATAAAAATTATTATAAAATACCAGAATAATCAATACTACCATTTCCATCTTAATCAATTTATTTCATTAATTTATCAACTTCAATTTCAGCATCAGAATAACTCATTACTTTTGAATAACCTATTTATTTATATATATAAGATATACCTATAATTAATTCTTCCCTACTTAATCTACCATCACCATTTAAATCTAATGCTTAAAATTATGTCAATAATTCCTACTTTTCTTAACTAGTTGCTAAATAATTGACCATAAATGTAAGAGCTGCTTCTTAAAATTTCTTTTCAACATTAAAATTTTTCATATTATTTAAAACTCTAGTCAATTATGGCAAATCTATTTCTGGTTTTTTCACATAAGTTGTAATCCAATCATCTTATAATGCTTATTCAGCAGATATCCTCTTTTTCGGATCTCTTTCAAGCATTTTTGATATCAATCTTTTAGCTTCAATTGAAATCAATCTCCATTCTTCTGTATCAAATGAATAAAATCCTCTTTTCACAGCTTCCATAATTAAATTGTCATCATCTCCATTAAAAGGAGCAGTTCCAGAAAGTAAAATATAGAGAATTACTCCACATGACCATATATCACATTTTTCATCATATTTCCTTTCTAATACTTCTGGTGCAATGTAATAGGGCTATATTAAATATAGAATTACAGTTCCAAGTTTTTAATCCATTTTTACATCTGGATCATAAAAGCGAGATGTTCCAAAATCGACAATTTTGAGTAAGGCATTAGGCTTAGAAGATTCATATAGAATATTTTCAGGCTTTATATCACTTTTAGAAATAATTGCAACCAAATAAGTACCGATGAACAATTTTGCTTTTATGCAAATAATTTACAGCACTCAAGATCTATTTCATAGTTTCTGCAGCTTTGCGTTCTGAAAATGAACTAGATTCTTAGATCTTATCGAATAGCTCTCCTCCAGTGCATAGTTCTGTAACTATATACATATTTTTATTATCCTGATAAAATTCATAGATCTTTATAATATTTGGATGATCCTTGGATTACAGAATTAAACATACTAATCTTTTGAGAATATCAACTTCTTCCTTTAGACGTTCCATATCAGCTTTTTTGGCCTTATCTTTTGATATAATTTTCACTGCTCTTGTTTGATTTGTCAATTTGTGAATACCCTTTCGAACTTCTCCATAAGCACCTAATAAGTAGATTGGAAATATAGAATTACCTTTTCCTAAAGAAGGTTTCAAAAGATGATAATCTTATGAAATCTGTCCCATCTTTTCAGTTACTAAATTTAGAGATGTTACACGTAATTGAGATTTGTCATTGACTCATATATAAATTTAAGATATTACTTTATTGAGGATTATTAACATCAGATGGTTTAGCTGAACCGCATCCCATTTTTTAATTAATTTTATAATCAAAGTAAAACTTCTGTAGAGAAAACATACAATAATAGAATATTATATTGAGAGAAACCTATATTAAGAATATTTGATATATGTTATTCTAGTTTAAATGTATATTTATAAAAATATATGTGTAATAAAAAATATTACTCTAAATGGAATTTTTTGAATTATATTAATAGTTAACAGTAAATTTAGAGGTAATATAATAATAATATCAATAGATAGAATGAAAAATGTAAGAGAAAGTAATTCATTTAGTAGATTCAAGACAAGACAAAAGTCAAGAGATAATGATCAAAATTCTTAGATTCTTAAATTACAAAGTTAATAGAATGTCAAAAGTAAAACAACAAGTCTATTATATAGAATTGTCTTCTAAAGTTTAACAAGGGAGTTTCCATCTCTTACCAGAAAGCAATTAAAGACCTAAAACAAAATCTATGGTTTAACAAGTCATACAAGTATAATAAATCTTAATCGTAATATAGAAACCTTCAAAAAAAGTATTAAATGATACTCATAATTATGTATCTAGCAAGTATTAGGCAAAAAAACTTATTAAATAAAATAGTTTTGTAAAGAATCGTTCTAAAAAAATGCATTCTGTTAGTTATTATCATTGTATTTGATTCATACAATTATATTATTTAGATGACAGCATATAAAATGAGAATGATGAATGTTTTACACATTTTAATAACATGTCTAATGTTTCTTTCAAAGATTACATGGATGCAGAAGGTATAAATATTAAAATTAAATTAATAGCTCGTGCCAACAAAATGCCATCAGATAAATCTTAAGAAATAATTGAAGGCAAGAAACTTTTGAGTTTAGGTCAAACTGAAGAAGCACAAAAATTGTTTGAGGACATTCTCCAAGTTAGTAATAATCCAGAAGCAAGATATTTAAATGGTATATGTTATTTGAGTAAATCTGAATTCTCAGAAGCAATTGCAGATCTAAATTTATTAATTTAATAATAACCACTTTATAAAAGAAATGCCTACATTCTATTAGCTATTGCTTATAAAAAATCTAATTGTCCAAATGATGCATTAAATACTGTATCTAAATTTATTTTAATTATTAGTTAACACTTGCTATCAAAAAATTTAACAAATATTTTGATGCTTATATATATAGAGGTAAACTTTTGTTGAAAATGAAATAATATGATCGTGCTTTGAAAGATTTCACTAGTGCAGTCGATATACAGCCAAAAAAGGCTATTGCATATATTGGATAAGCTGACTGTTACAGATATATGAATCAACCAAAATAAAGTGTTTAAGCTTGTACTCAAGCTATAGAATGTGAGGATTCCTCTTTCAGATAAGCACTTATTAAAAGAACTTTGTTATATATTGATTTAAAAGAATATGATTTAGCATTGTTAGACATTGAGGCTGTTTTAGAGGAAGATCATTGTGATTCTGAAGCTTTATATATCAAAGGTTTTATTTGTACAAAAAGAAGTAAATTATTATATTATTATCATTTAGATTAAATTTAAGAAGCCTTTCTTGCATATGAGTAATCAATTAAACATAACAATTCAAAAAAAGCTGTATCAAAGTCTCTTTATGAAATTGCTAAAATTAAAATTGAATAAAGAGACTTTTATGAGGCATTTTATCAGTTAAGTCGTGCTGATTATTTAGATGTAGATGAAAAGATCTTAGAAAAATTCAAAATATTTACTGATGGAGTTACCTTCTTAATGAAACGTAAATTTGATGAAGGTGTTGAGGCTTTGACAACACTTATTAATAAACATTAGGTTACAGATTTTTTAAAGCCTCTTATTTTTTAATATAGAGCTTATGGATACTTTTGTTAATCATAATATTAAAAATCTCTTAATGATTTAAATCAATTGACTTCACTTGAAAAACCTTCTATTTATAATAAATTAATAGTTGAAGGAATACTTGCTGCTGTAGCAAATTAATTTGAATAATCTTAAGGATTCTTTTTAAAAGCTTAGAAATTAATGCCTAATAAAATGGAACCATATTTTTATAAAGCTACAACATTAGTTAAATTCTATAGTTATCTTATTCCTAAAGATGATATTGAAAAAAAAAATAAATTTTTGAATGATGCACTTAAATATATGGATATGGCAGTCAAAATTAATGAGCAATCTAATTTGTTATTTTATAGAGGAATAGTTCTTTTTGCATAAGGTAGATTGGATGAATCTCTAGTTGATTTAGATAAGGCTATAGAAAAATCAGAAGATCATGTAGCAAAACATTTTTATGTTAGAGGGTTGATTTAGGCTTGTAGAAATGCATTTGAACTTGCTCATAATGATTTAACTATCGCAATCAATCTTGATGAAAAATTAGTAGATGTCTATTTAAATAGAGCAAAAGTATTTCTATCTTTGGGAGATAGGAAAACTGCTTATTATGATGCTCAAAAATATAAAGAATGTAAATAGACTGATCCATAAACTGATATTATCATAGGGAATTTATTCTTTTAAATTGGTGCTTATGAAGATGCTATACAATCCTATTCTAATAGTATAAGTTCTGAAAAAAGTTTATAAGTTTTGTATTATAGAGCCAAAACATACATTTTAATTAAAGAATTAAATAGTTCAATGCTTGATTTACAAAAAATAGTTGAATAATCTAATGAAATTCATGCTATAGTTGATTTAAATATCTTACAGTAATTAAAAAATACATCAACAGCAAATAGTGATTAGAATTTATTTTAAGAAGCATTGCAATGTGTTAATTAAATTTTAAAAAAAGGAGCTGAAGGAAAGATATTTAAAAAATCAGATATTCTATTTTATAAGGGATTATTTTTATTTTATTTAAAATAATATGAGAATGCTTAATAAGCATTAAGAGAATCATATAAAATTAAAGAGAATCAATAAAGGAAGGAATTAGAAATGATTAATGATTTTGATTAATATATTTTGGATTAATTAAATCAAACACAAAAGAAAATTGAATGTAGAAGTAAACCTTTAGAAGAATTTGAATTTAGTGATAGAACTTATAATTTATTTGAATACTATTTTAATAGATCTGCTATACATTTACTTTTAGGATAAACAGATTCAGCAATTGATTATTTAGAATAATTATATGAAAATATAGCATAATAAGAAATCTAAGAACATCTATCAATGTTTATTTAATTATTGAAGGATGATTAGAATCCTAAAAGTGAAATAAATCCTGAACTTTCAAAATTGACTGAATTCATCATTTTTCCATAACATAATCGATTATGTTCAATATATCCAATGGTGAAATTACCTTTAAAGAAATATAAATAAAGTTTATTATTAAGATTATCTTTTTGTTTACCAACAATTGAGATTCCAGAAATGAATATCAAATTTGATGATAAATTACTTGAAACAATTAGTGTATAATGAATTATTAACAATTTTAGCCAACAGTAGTTGAAAATAAACCAGAAGCACCATGGATTAAACGAACAGCTGAAGGTGTAATATTTACAGATAATGTTCAAATAGTTGAAGATCTAGATCTGTAATCAACAACAAGACCTTCAAAAAAATAGACAGAAATTGAAGATCCAGAATTCTAACAATTTGAAGAATAATTAAATAATGCAATAGAAAAATATGATTATAGTGAAATAGATTAATAAGATGAAATTGTTGAATAATAAACTTAAGCTATAGATTTACAATAACTTAAACAAAATTTAATGCTCGATTCTAAAATTGCAGACAAATTAAATTCAATTCTATAAAAAAAAGCATAAAATTGACTCATTTATATATTTATTAATTCAGTTATATAGAGATAAAATTAATTCAAAAATAATATAATAATCAGTATTTTTTAAATGAATTTTTGCGTTTTTCCATTATAAATTATTAATATAAATTTTACTTATATTTTTCCCAAGATTTTATTTATTTTCTTATATGATCTATTTCATAATCATCAAATTCTTTCATGGATCTTAATCCTGCTAAGATTTAATTTTATAAACTTTCTGGAAGATTTTAATATCGTTTTTCATCCAAAAAGAATACACTTCCTTATACACTTTTAACAACAACTGTTAATCTATTATTTATATATATATATATTTATTACTTTGCACTATTAGTCTATTCTTAATCATATTCATTATCATATAAAATTAATAATGATCTACCACAAATTACATCACATTTTTTTAATGTCTTTAATACATGTAAATGAGTATAAGTAATATTCTTCTTTCCTTTAATTTATTTATTACAATATTGATAACATTTTGAATTTCTTATAACTTATTAATTGTTATTTAAAGATAAATCAAAAGATTAATCAGGAATATCTCTAGGAATCATTGGTCTAGTATTCTTATCTATGAATTTTTTAATAACAAAAGGTTTTAATTTATTTTCTAGATAATAATTTCTTGTTTCTCTCTCTAATTGTATTTCCTCTACAATTTCAAATTCACCTTAAGCAATTATAATTACTCTATTTAATAAATCTCCCTTTCTTACAACACAATCTCCCTAAAAATAATTTTAAATTCCTAATTCTGCTACTAAATGTAATAATTAAGAAGCTGAAGTATGTTAAAAAAATCTAATTTATGATAATATACTCAATTTAAATTCTTTATCTTTTTCAATAGATTATTTCAAAATTTTTTAAAATTAATCATTATCCATTCTTAATAAATAAGTTTTTTCTGCACAAGATATATGACTAGTAATTAATTTGGTTCTTTCATTTTTTAAAATATCTTTAATAGTTTAATATATGATGTTATACCTTTAAATTTTGGATGTTCTTTGATTTCCTCAACCATATCTATAAATTTATTAGCAGAATATCCTCTATTATTATTTAATTATAATAAATTGATTTCTGATAAATCTTAACCATCAAAATAAGATTACACTGTTAAATATTCATATTCTTATAATTGTATATCCATTGTTAATGTCTATTAACAAGAACCTCTAAGAATAACATAAAGATTATTGCTATTAGCACCTAATTGTAAAATAACATTTCCAACTTCATGTATTTCCATAGATGCTTTTTCCATTATTCCAATTCTAATTCCTTACCCAAATCTTTAAAAAAACTTATTCTTCAATAAAATTTTATCCATTTATAAATAATTCTTTTCATATTCTTCCTTTTCAAATTCTTATACTAAATATCTTAATTCGTCTAAACTAAATACATTAAGTTCTAATTTCTCATAATCTACCTAATAATCCCATTCATCTATTTCAAAAGTTTCTGGTTCCAAATTCTTATACATAGAATTCACTTATTCCTTTATTATTGTTAAATCTTCATTTGCATTAATAATTGGTTAAAATTATTCTTTTATCAAACCATCTTGTATAACATTTAAATTTCTAATTATAAACATTCATACTCTTGTATTTATTCATCATTCTTATCCATCTCTTTTTTTCCACATATTAATGATTTACTATGTTATATAGGTCTTTCATTTTATTTTATATATGATGTATTCTTAAGATATTATAATAAATCTTACTATTTTTCTATTTCTTCTCCCACTTTCTTGAAAAGTTGACCTAAATTTATTTCCTAAATCAGAATCCATTGTTTTTTATAACTCTATTGTATAGGTTTATAATTTTTCCCTTCTTGGATCAACATAGAAAGAGTTTGTTGTTCTATTTATAGAATTTAATGTAGTAGAAATATTGGTTTTATTTTTTGTCACACTCAACGAATGATTGCTTTGAAATTTCAATCCAAAATCTTACCTCTAATCATACAAACTTTAACTATTCTACTACCTATTTACTTATTATTAAGGTGTTTTATTTAGATTTTACTTGAAGGCTTATTTGACTCTAAATATATTATACATCAATATTTCTCTTTTATTTATTTTTTATATTATTGCAATATTAAATCAATCAATCCATCTTCCAGTGTATCTTGCATCACCATAACTAAGAGCCTTTTGAATGTCTGATGGTAATTTTGGAAAATTGGATGTCCAATATGAGATTTCATTGTCATTCATAACATCCATTCCAATTTTATTAAAAACTGTTAATCCTACAACTGCAAAAATGCCCTTCATGTATATAGAACTTTAAGCACAATAAATATCACCAATAAATCTGCCTAACTTTAAAATTATTAACATAATCATTTACAAAAAGACCAACAACTGGTAATCCCCATCTTATTCCTTTAACTTATTAATCTGTAAATCTTCTAGGTAATGCTTGTCCCTCTACAATAAATATATAATAATTACCTTCTGATTATTAAAATCTACTCAAAGCCTTTCTTAATCTTGATTGATTCTCCCAATCAGTATGATCTCTACCAGCATTGAGATTATAAAAAGGATTTCCATAAACTGTAAATCTTGTAAGGAAATACTCCATTGAATTTATTATAATTATTATTTTATATATTAAAAATAAATGATTAAAAATTTTGATCTGCATAAAAAATGTAAAATTATAAAATAAATATGTTTTACTTTTACTAATATCAATTATTCTCTTATTTTTAATAATTTTATGACTTTTTATTAATTTTCTATAAATTATTTATTGTGTTTTGATGTTTAAAAATAAAATTACTTTACCAAATATATTATTCTCTATTTTTATTCCATTGATTATTTCAATCAATTGAATAGATTGTATAATTCTTTATATTTCATAAATAAAGTGATTAGTACTATTTTTATTTAATTTCAGTAACATCTTAAGAAATTCAATTCTAAAAAGGTAAGTCCAATTAAATAAAAGGTTAAACAAATTGATGTATTTTATTATTGTAGTTTTAATACATTTAAGGATGGATTTCAAAATTAATCTTTTTTACAACACATAAGACATAAACTATTTTATACCATATACTAAAAAAGTCGTTGGCTTATTATGAATTATAATATTGATATTTGAATATAGAAATGATTGTTTTAGTGATATAAATGAATTTAAATTTTGTATGTTTATTTTTAAGATGACTAATTTAATGTAATAAATTATTATGATTTAATTCGATACAATCCTCATTGATATGACTTGGTAAAATTTCATAAAGAATTCTAAAATTAATTAATTTTTGTCATAAAATAATAAAAACACATTATTATTTAGTCATTAAAATCATTCTTTGTTGTAAATAAATGCAAATTAATCCTAAAAGAACGGCTAATTAATAAAAATAGTAGATATACATGTTACAAGGCCTATTTACTTGATATCCGTTTTGAAGGATCAACTTATAATAATTTCTAGAAATTCTAGACTAATACATACATTTATTAAATCAATAAACAAATTATTGAATTTGGCAAATTGGGAATTGTGTAAAAACCATTCATCTAAAAGGTTGCTTTTAAGTTTATACCTCCATTTATGATATTTTTAATTAGTAAGAGCTAATGAATTTCAGAGGATCCCATAAAGAAAGGTTTATTAAGTGCAATTTCTACAATAATACATCCAAGAGACCACATATCAATTGCATAATCATAAGTATTGCAATTTTACAATAATTCTGGGGCACGATACCATAATTAAGTTACTCCTGGAGTTAGATTAGGAGAAAGAACCCTTGATAATCCAAAATCAATTAAGACTGGTTCATTATTTTTAACTAGAATATTGTTTGGTTGTAAATCTCGATGTATAATTTTTCTATTATGAATGAATTCCACTGCCAATAGTATCTTATAAATTATATTCTTAATTAATTTATAGTGAATATACTTTAAGGTGAAATTCCTCATGATTAAACTTCAAATACTCTGTCAAATCCATATCGTAATAGTTCATAACCAAATGAAGTTTCTTATTTATAATTATTTAAGATATCAACCTAAATTAAACCTCAATTTTTTTACTTTATTATATTAGGATGATTGAGTTAATTTAATATAGATATTTCTCTAAGAGCACAACTAGGAACACCTTCATTATCCTTTAGAATATATCATCTTTATACACTTAGCTTAAATTTCTTCAGTGCCACTATTTCTTAAGTCTAGACATCTTGAGCTTTATAAATGATTCCATAGGCACCCTCTCCTATTTTCTATATCTTAATATATCTCACATTTTCAGAGGCACTCATATAATAATAAATTATATCTTTGATTTAATACAATATTTATGAATCACATATAATTCTGTTGCATTCGAATTAATAATCCCAATATACATATTTATAGTTCTTTAAGCACCCCCCTCATTATTCTATTCTTTTTTTTTAATTAGTATGAAATTTATCAAATAAACAATCAATTTAATTTAAAATAAATATAATAGTACAAAAACAACATAAAAAGAATTCATTATAATAATCGCCATTCTTCTAAAACAAAATTAAATGATATTAAATTTAAACATCCAATAAATTCACATTAAATTTAAAAATCATATAACTATTTAAATATCACTTATTCATTTGAACTTAATGTATTTACACTTGTCATATCTTTTATCAATACAAATATAACGCAATTTTATCAAACATAACTTATTTTGATTATATATTATTTTTATGAGTTTATAATAATAATTACAATAAGCTTTTTTCGAATAATAAATCTCTGGACATTCTATATTTATTAAACTTAATGATGGCGAGTTTGTAGCTAAGTCCTACTCAATAGAAAATAATAATGAATAAAAGTATTTCTAAAAGCTAATTAGTTTTTATGAATGGATTCAGCAAATAGATGGTTATTAAGAGTACTTCTCTAAATATAATGGGGTTGTTATTCTAGAGAAAAATCAATAAGTATCAAATTAGCAAACAATTAATTAATAATAAGAATGGTTAAATTCTCTCATTTCTAAGAGATATAATCCAAATAATACGAGTATTTATATTCAATTATATAGAATATTTGTTACTTGAAAACTTGACTTAAAATTCATAGAATTTAAGAATTCTTGACTTAAAATTAGGTTATACAGTTCATAAATAATCACATATATAACGTTATCAAGATTCAACTTCCTCTAAAATAGGTTTAAGGATTTGTGGAATGAAGATATAAGAAGATAATGAATTAGTCATATTTAAAGATAAACATTGGGGTAGAACAATATCTGTAGAGGAATTAATTGAATCACTTCAGATATTTTTTAGTTTAAAAAATAGAAATAGTAAGTTAAATTTATTAAATTATTTAGAAATCTTGAAAGAAGCCATAGATAAGATAGAATCACTAAAGTAATTCATTACTAATCATTGTAAGTAAGTAATTTCATGGTAAGGTACAAGTTTATTATTAATTTATCGTCATGAAAATGATTTTAAAATTAAATTGATTGACTTCTCTAATACTATTGTGGATCCACAATCTTCTGAAATCAATGCTGAAATTATGAAAGCCTTAAATAGTCTATAAGATATTATAAAGCAAATTTGATATTTGATTCATATAATAAATTTGCAGTTTTCTTGAGGAATTGATAAATATAAAAGAAAATAATCAAATCCATTAAAAGTTTTTATATTTAAAAATATATGTAAGGAGCTCCAGTAATTGTAGTTAATGCTAACACAAAAAGAGAATAGGGTAGAAAAGCTCAATTAGGAAATATCTAAGCAGCCAAAGCTGTATCAGATATCGTCTTGACTACTCTCGGACCCAGATCAATGTTAAAAATGTTACTTGATCCAATGGGCGGCATTGTAATGACAAATGATGGCAATGCAATTTTAAGAGAGATTGATGTTTAGCATCCAGCAGCAAAGAGTATGATCGAATTAGCAAGAGTATTATATAATAATTAAGTATTTAAAGGCTCAAGATGAAGAAGTTGGAGATGGAACAACATCAGTTATCATATTAGCAGGTGAAATGATGGTAGCAGCTAGACCATTCATTGAAAAGAATATTCATCCAACAGAAATTGTTAATGGGTATTTCAGAGCCTTGGAAGATTCTGTAAAAATTTTAGATGAGATTTCACAATAAATAGATACCGACAAAAAAGAAGAAGTAATGAAAGCATTACAATCTTGTATTGGTACTAAATTTGCATTTAGATGGGGAACATTAATTAGTGATCTCTCTTTATAAGCAACAAAAATAGTTCTTAGAGGAGGAAATATTAATAAATTGAATTTAGAAATTAAGAGATATGCAAAAGTAGAAAAAATACCAGGAGGTATTCTAGAAGATAGTTGTGTACTTGAAGGAGTTATGATTAATAAAGATGTTACTCATCCAAGAATGAGAAGAGAAATCAAGAATCCAAGAATTATTTTATTAGATTGTACATTGGAATATAAGAAAGGTGAATCTATGACAAATATGGAAATGACAAAAGAATAAGACATGACTGATGCACTTTAATAAGAAATTAATGAAGTTGCTCTTATGTGTAATGATATATTGAAACACAAACCTGATATTGTAATTACAGAAAAAGGAGTTTCAGATTTAGCTTAACACTTTTTATTAAAAGGAAATGTTTCTGTCATTAGAAGAGTAAGAAAAACAGACAATACAAGAATTGCAAGAGTTTCAGGTGCTACAATTGTTAATAGACCAGAAGAATTATAAGAAACTGATGTTGGTACATTATGTGGAACATTTGAAGTCAAAAAAATAGGAGATGATTATTTTGCATTCTTTGTAGATTGTTAGAATCCAACTGCATGCTCTATTATATTAAGAGGTGCATCAAAAGATGTTTTGAATGAAATGGTATTTATTTAAAATTAATATTAATTAGGAAAGAAATTTACATGATTGTTTGGCAGTTGCAAAAAATATTTATTAAGATCCAAAATTATTACCAGGAGGAGGAGCTGTAGAAATGGAAGTTAGTGCTAGATTATTGGAAAAAGCCAATAAAGTTGAAGGATTAGGTCAATTACCATATAAAGCTGGTATATTTTATAAATATATATTAAATAGTTGCCTATGCTTTAGAAATCATACCAAGAACTCTTTCTGCTAATTGTGGAGCTGATACTGTTAGAGTATTGACAGAATTAAGAGCTAAACATAGCGAAACTGGAGGATTATTTTTTGGAGTAGATGGAAATACAGGAAAAATAGCTAAGATGAATGAAATTAATGTTTGGGAGCCATTATCTGTTAAAAAGTATATTAATTCTTTAAAAATTTAGATAAGTTTTCAAAACTGCCATTGAATCAGCTTGTATGTTATTGAGAATTGATGATGTTGTATCAGGAATCAAAAAGAAGTAATAATAATCAGGACGTTAAGGAGAAGAGGAACCCTAAGAAACATTTGGAGATTAAAGAGACGGTTGATAAATAAATCAATATCATTATATAGTATAGATATAGTAATAGAATACATTAATATTTATATTTGGATATATTTAAAATAAAGAAATTGAATAAGTTTACAAGATCAAAGAGATCAAATTTTCTAGCAAATTCTAAAATAGTATTTATATTTGTGTACTTAAAAATTTAATTCTGATAATTATTTTATTTAAGTTCAATTTGTAGATTCATAATGGCATCTTAATTCAAGAAATTGGCACCTCTCCTCAACAGAGTTTTAATCTAAAAGCATGAACCTGTCACAAAAACAGCTTCAGGAATCCTTTTATAAACATCAGAGGATAAATAAGCTGTAGGAAAAGTTGTCGAAGTAAGAATTTTATTCTAGAAATTTCCAGGCTGGTCCAGGATAAATAGATTCAAAAGGAAATGTCATACCTACTTTAGTCAAACCTGGTGATGTTGTTTTACTTCCAGATTATGGAGGATAGAAAATCAAGTTGGCAGATTAAGAGTATTTCATTTTTAGAGATTCAGACATTATTGGAATTTTACATTAATGATTTTTATTATCATGTATAATAAGACATATTCATTTACATTTCACTTACTTTCTTCATGATGATTGAGTTCAGTTTTAATACGAATATTAATAATTTATATGTGTATATTTTATTTATTATATAAATCTTGACTTTTGATGAGTACATCTCTAGTAAAACCTAAAAAACTGAAGTTGACAGATTATGAAGTATTTCAAACTCTTGGCACAGGTACTTTATTAATTAATTACAATTTTAGGTTCCTTTGGGAGAGTCAAATTGGCAAGGAACAAATAAACAAATAAATATGTTGCCTTAAAAAGTTTAAAGAAAGCTGAAATTATACGTTTAAAGCAAGTTGATCATGTAATTAATGAGAATACCATATTGGGCAACTTGCAGCATCCTTTTATTGTATTCTTTTCTTTCATACATTCTTAGGTTAATTTCGAAGGATTCTGCCAAGATCCTAGATACTTATATCTAGTATTAGAGTTTGTTTCTGGAGGTGAATTATTTACTTATTTGAGAAGTATAGGAAGACTTGATACATAGCATGCAGGGTAAATGAAACAAATTCATTTTTTAGTTTTTATGCTTCTTAAGTTGCCTCAATTTTTGAATATCTTCACTCAAAAAATATTGTATATAGAGATTTAAAACCAGAAAACTTATTAATTGCAGATGATGGATACTTAAAATTAACAGATTTTGGATTTGCTAAAGTAGTTGAAGGAAGAACATATACACTTTGTGGAACACCAGAATATTTGGCACCAGAAATTTTATTAAATAAAGGACATGGTAAAGCAGTAGATTGGTGGACCTTGGGCATATTGATATATGAAATGAATGCAGGAATTGATCCCTTTTCTGATGAAGATCCTATGGCAATTTACCAGAAAATTCTTAAAGGAAAGGTTAAGTTTCCAAAATCTTTTGATAAGTATTGAGTAAGAATAATATAGAAATGCTAAATCCTTAGTCAAACATCTATTAGTTGCAGATCTGTCTAAAAGATATGGAAATTTAAAGAATGGTAATTAATTTAAGATTATTTTAACTAGGGGCTGCTGATATTAAAAGTCATAGATGGTTTGGAAATCTTGATTGGAATTTGTTAATATAAAAGAAATTGCCAGTTCCTTATAAGCCTGTTGTTAAGTAATTCTTTAAAAAATTGAAATAAGAGCTCCTAATGATACATCAAATTTCTCATCATATCCAGAATCCGATACTTAAAGTCCAGCCCTTAAACCTGCAGATGATCCCTTCCTTGAATGGTGAAAAACATTATATTGAATAAATATATATATCAAAAGAAAAATGGAGTTCAATATTAATTTTTAGGTTTATCATATTTCTCTTAATAAAGTTTGATTATCATTTAATCAAGTATAAAATTAAAAATAAAAATAGTTGATATATACAAATTTATAGTGTTTCATTCTAATAGTATATTCTAAATTATTATAATTAACAATTGAAAAATTCAGTGCAATTATAATTAGATGTATAAATGATAATGAATTGATTAATTTCATATTTAAAATAAATATCTTTAAATGGGTTGTTCTTCTTCAAATGTAAAACTGTCAAATTATAAATTAGAGTGCCGATGTAAATAATCCTGGAAATGCTCCAAAAGCTGAAGTTATTTTTATATTGGTATTTTCTTATATTATTTTAATAGGGAGGACCTGGATCAGGTAAGGGTACACAATGTGAAAAAATGGTTAAAGATTATTGCTTTTTGCATATAAGTACTGGAGATTTGTTAAGAGCAGAAAGATAGAAAGGTAAATAATATACACTAAGTTAGGTGGACCTGATGCTGAAGAATTGGAAAATATTATGAGAGAAGGTAAATTAGTTCCATCAGATATATTAGTAAAGTTAATCAAAAAAGTATAAAGTTTTTTATAATTTTGAGGAAATTGAATCTTTGGGAAATACAGGAAGATATATATTAGATGGATTTCCAAGATCATAAGATAATTGGTAAAGTTGGAATAAAATAATTGGAAATTCTGTAAATGCAAGATTTTTGTTAATGTTTGAATGTTCAGAAGCAGTTATGGAATAAAGACTTTTAAAGAGAGGAGAAACATCAGGTCGAGCAGATGATAATGCAGAAACAATAAAGAAAAGATTTGCCACTTTTATGAATGAAACTCAACCAGTTGTATAAGATTTTGAGAAGAGGAATATGGTTATCAAAGTTAGTGCTGAAGCAACACCAGATGAAGTTTATGAAAATGTGAAAAAAGCATTAACTAATAAAGGTGTTTAACCATAAAAACGACCTGAAGTCTTATTTGTTTTAGTAAATAATATTTTTAATTTCAAGGGAGGACCTGGTTCAGGCAAAGGAACTTAATGTGCTAGGATTTCTAAAGACTTTTAATATGTTCATTTATCAACAGGAGATTTACTTAGAGAAGAATAAAAGAAAGAAGGTCCTCTATAAGCAGAATTGAAATCAATTATGGAAGCAGGTAAACTTGTTCCATCTGATCTTGTTGTTAAATTAATGAAAAAAGTAATTTATACAATTTAAATATAAGGAATTATTAAGAAGATAATTTAGAGGAAAATATCTTTTAGATGGATTTCCTCGTAATTAAGAAAATATTGATTCTTGGAATAAAATTCTAGCTACTTTAGTGGATGTAAATTGTTTGCTTTACTTTGAATGTTCTGATGCTGAAATGACTAAAAGACTTTTGGAGAGAGCTAAAACATCAGGAAGAGCTGATGACAATGAAGAAACAATAAAAAAAAGATTAGCTACTTTTCATTCTGAGACAAAACCAGTTCTTGGAATATTTAAAGATTAAAGTAAAGAATTCTTATTATATTTTTTAGATAAATTGAAAGTTATTAATTCAGAATAATTAGTTGATGTAGTTTATTCAAATGTTAAAAAAGTATTTAAAACAAGTGGATTAGCAGTTACACTAAATGGTTAAAGACCTGCAAAAGGAAAATATGTTATAGGTATAATAGGGGCTCCTGGAACTGGAAAATAAGTTTAATCTTAAAGAATATCAAAAAGATTTGGATTTCAACATTTATCAACTAAAATAATTATAAGAGATGAAATAAAAAAGAATACATAAGAAGCATAAACAATAAAAGATTGTTAAAAAAATAATTAACCTATTCCAGGAAAAGTAGTTGTTAAATTAATTCTTGCTGCTATTAATTAATCAAAAGCTAGAAAATTCATAATTGATGGATTTCCAAGAAATGAAGATAATTTAAATGCTTGGTATTCTTAAACAAATCAACCTGTTAGACTTAAATATATTATGTGTTTTGCATGTTCTTAAGAAGTACTTGATAAAAGGATTGCAGCAGATGTTGGTAATTATAAAATTAATAATAATCTAGCCAAAAAAGACTAAGCAAGTATTTAAAGGAAAGTTGAAATATTAAATAATTAAACAAACTAAATTATTTAAATGTTTAAGAAAGATGAAAGACTTATTGAAATAAATACAGAACCTACAATTGATGAAGTATTTGCAGAAATTGAAAAAGTTTTTATTGCCAAAAAACTTGATAGATGAGTCAATTATAAAATATAATATAGAAATAAAATATATATTTTTTGTATTTTCAATTAATTAGAATTATAATTATATAAATCAATTATTGTTTATTGCAGCATCAATGAATTAATTCCATTCTATAGCATTATGCCTTTATAGTTCAATTGAAAGAAATTTTATTTTTTGCATAATCTTCTAAATTTAATTTGATTCTTCTTCAGAAAATTATTATTGTGGAATTCCTAAAAGTAGTTTTTCAATAATATTATAGTATTCATATGATTTTGAATGCTGTCTTCTCCAAGTTTAAAATTCCTACTTTAAAATTATAAATGATTAATGCAATTTAGAAGAAGTATCATTTAACATAGGTAAAAAGTAAAGACAAATATTACGATCTTCATCTTCAAGATGTTTTAATATGATTAAACATGGTATTGCTACAAATATATCACTATCTCTGCATTCTAATTATTCTTTAAATTATTAATATTTCTCTGCTGATGTCTCTATTATATGAGAAAACAACATTAATTATGTATATCTCTTTGGATCCAATAAATAATTTAAACCTTTCTCCCATTATGTTTCATATTCAATCAATAATTCAACTAATTCTTAATTATTTTTTAATTGAGGATCGACCATTTCAATATTACGTTCATATCTTCTCATCTGTTCTCTAAACTTTTAGAAACTTAACTATTATAACAAGTCTACTTCATTTTGATGCTATCAGCAAGATTTCTAACAGCTTATGATTATTCTCTTGTTACTCTTCTGGTTATACCTTCAGCTTCAAGTAGGATATTTACACAAAGATCATCCCTTCCTTTACCTTCAACATTAGCGACCGAATTAATCTGTGCTATCACTTTGCATAACTAGCTTCAGTATGTGAGTTACTTCAGCTTTTTATTGTAAATAATTATCAGAAGTCACAAGGATTCTCCCCTTTAATTTCTCACGTACTTCAATCGAGATCATTTCTTTATCAATTTCTATTGCTTTTAGTATAAACCTTCTTGCTTCTGCTTCTATCTGCATTAATTCTTTAACATAATACTTTATTATATAAATTTAAAGTACTTTCTCAAAATTAACCCATATTATGTCAAAATTCTCTAACAATAATTGAATTTCAGCTTTTAATTTTTAAGAAGAGAAATCAGGACTCTCTTATCCAGTCCCTGAATATGTATATCTGATGACATGTTAAACTTTATAAAAAGCCTCCACTAATCTCACTCCAGCTTCCAATACATCAGTTGAAAATGCATATTTTTCAGAATTAACCCATAAATAAGGGAAGCCTAGAACTTTAATCACTAACTTTTACCTTCTTAAGCACTATCAAGAATTTCAGTCAAGTAACACAACTCACCTTCCGTATATAATATTTTGTAAGCTTTTGAAAATGTGTCTCTATAATCCCTTGATACTGCATTCACTTTATACACCTGCGGATTAATTGATCAAATACTTTACACATATATTCAAGATGGTATAGAAATTTTTTACAACTATGTTATCCTTCTGGATTGTCTAAATCATATTTCTAATAGTCTCTCTAAATTAATTAGCTTTAGCTTCTATAAGCTTTTTCAAGAGCCTCATATTCTTCTGATCTTCTTACTTCTAAATAAATTTACCTCTTAAATTCCTCCAAATCAGTTAATGGTCTTGGAGGAGCTGTCATACATCTTTTATAAATAGATTCCTCAAAAGAAGTAGCATCAGAAACTAAAGAATAAATTAACAAAGAACTTACTATCATCATCAATTTCACAAAAATGCTAATTTAGCATTATTTATTTATTTATATAATCAAAGTAATTTAATAAAAATAACAAATATTACAATTATAATAAAGTCAATTTAATTTAGTAAATATAAACTCAGCAATGACTTTTTGAATCTCAAAAAGGAATGAATCAAATGTTTTATCCTACTTTACACTTTTTGAAATCTATCTTTCCAAATTTTGAAAAACTTTTTAATTTGTCAGTTTTATAGGCTCTTTTCTAGCATTCATTTATAATTGTCCTTCATTAAGAATTCCTTCTATCATTTCAACAAAAACCTCATAAATTTAAGGTTTATAACGATATTATAACCTTTCTTTTAGCCAGTCAGCATTATTTTTATAGCTTTAATCAAGTTTGTAACATTAATTAGCATTTTAAAATATCTTTATATATAGAATGTTTCCATACCCAATATTTTTGATTGAAATATCTTTCTACCAATAAACAATCTATCTAACAGATCTTTTTACATCCAAATGTAGTTAGATTTAGCTTATATTCGATTTCTTTCTCAGTCTTATTTAATTCTACTTGATTGTTATTTTTATGAAAAAAATTTGTTTAATCTAATATTTCAAACTTCTGTTCACCTGAAAATCATTATAATAAATACCTAAGATTGGATAGATAGGTGTAGAAGGTAAAAACATATATTAATTAATAGGTATATGGAATTCACCTTACTTGTGCTCAAATGAATTTGATTCACTTTTGTTATGAAATTCATTTAAAGGATTTCGATATCTCTAAAAAGAACTTTCAGCTTCTAATTAATATAATATTAGAAATATAGTTTACATTTTAATGTGGGAATTCTTGAATGCATAACATTAAATTCCATAATAAAAATTAATTAATGTAATAAATTAAAGGACTGTTCACTAATTTGTTAGAAAATTTCGAATAAATGATTTCAAATATCGATGGGTATAATATAATATATATTGTTAAGTCTCTAAATAGAGATTATCAAATAACTTCTCGAAGAAACATTAGAGTAGATGTATGAGATTCATACTCAACTGAAGGAATCAAATAATCCTACACCTGAGAAGACTTCTGTTTCAAGAGCAACTCAATAGAAAATTTAAGACTAATAAACTGCTTTATAGCATTAAGAGAGTGAGATAGGACATCTAAAGTAAGAAATATCACAACTTAAGAATAAAATTATGCTGTTAAATAATTAATTAAAAGATAAAGATATTTGTATATCTAATAAATTCAATATTTAGAATATAATGAACTCCAAGAATAAACTAAGAAACAACTGGATAAAAGTTCCAATGAGAATAAAAACATGAAACAATTCTATCTTGAGATTGCTTAATTAAAATAAACAATTAAGTAATAAGATGATGAATTAAAATTGATTAACAAATAAAATACAGATTTAGAGGATGGTATTCTAACCATATATTTTAGAACTATAATAAACAAAGGAAAATTTATTAATTCAATTAGAGAATAAAGGTTAAGAATTAGAGATTAATCATCAATAATATTTATCAATGGAAAGGAAATATTAGGCAGAAATCTTATTTTTAAATTAAAAGAATTAAGAGTTGACTCAATTAGATTAATAATATAAAGAATAATTCTTAAAATAATAGGAAGAATTTGAGAGATTTTAAAACTTATTTAAAGAAATTTAAAACAAAAATTAGATCTAATTTAAATAATAAAGTAATGATTAGTTGATTTAATTATAAATTGAATTTGAAGAATACTAAAATAAAGCTGAAGAAGAATTATCAGCATAAAAATAATTAATAAAAGAATTAAATACAACTATTAACTAAAAAAATTAAGAGATTATTTTGTAGATATCTTAAATTAAAGATTTATAATAATAAGTTGATAATAAAGATTAAGATTAATTTTAAGCTATTAAAGAAAAAAATACTTATTAGTTAACATTAAAATAAATGGAATAGCGATTTAAAAAATAATTGGAAGATTATCAAGAGGAATTTGAGAATTTAAAGTAATTGATTGAAGAATAGACAGAAATGAATAAATAAAATTAAATTAGATATACAGAACAAGAAGAACTAGTGAATAATCAAAAATAAATAATTGAAGATTATATTGAATAAATATAAAATCATTAATAAGAAAAGAAAAAATATAATAGAGAAATAGAAAAAATGAAAATAATTAATGAAGGTTTATAAGATCAAATTGATTAAGTAAATAATTAGAATCTAACAGCTATTGAAACTTCTAACAAAGAATTAAGATATTAAAAAACTCTTGTTAAATAATTAGAATAAGAAGTTATTTAATTAACATCAACAATAAAAGCATAAGAACTTTAAGTCTAAGATTTATAAGAATAATTAGCTTAAGCTAATATTATATAATAATCAAAAGATTTATAATATAGAGAATTATAATAAGAAAAATAATAAATTGATAGATAATTTTTTTAAAGTGAATTTAATTATTAAGAGGAAATTAAACATCTAGAATTAAAAATTAATTAGCTTTCAGAAAATAAGAGAAGATAATAATAATAAATTGAAACACAAATTTCATAAATTAAGTCTTTATAGAATGAAAATTCTGATTTATAAGAATAACTTAATCAATTAAATTAAAATATTGTTTAAATGGAAATATTAGAATAGCAATAATAGCAAAGTATATAATTTTAGCATGAAAAAATTAATAGATTAGAAACCTAGGTGAAAATCTATAAATAATAAGTAAATATTATTATTTATAATTTAGTTATAAAGTTCAAAACCATTATCTCATTCTTTTAGAGATTCTTATAAGACTCCTGAAAAAGATATATTAGAAAATTATGAATAGAGATTATAAATGAAATAAAAAGAGATTGCTAAACTTTAAGATATGTATTAATAAGTAATCGAATAAAATGAATTGCTTCAAAGTTACACTGAAAAAAAAAACTATAAAAAAAATGATTAAGAATTTGATAAAGAATTTAGTTCATAAATTGAAAGTATTTTGGAATCAGATGTCATTGAAAATCCTGATCAAGAAAGAGTTAAACTTCAAACTATTATTAAAAATATATAAAAGAAAACATAGAAAAATTGAAATTATATATATACTATAATTTTATATTAAATATTATGAGACTTAAATTAATTATCCATTATCAGAATAATTCAACAGATAATATTTTGCTTTTTAGCAAGCCTAATTAGACTATTGAAGATTTATGTAATTATTTATCAAAGACTTGCCATTTACAAAACCCATAAATCATTATTGAGGGCTTTAGAGCATTGAATGATTAACTTGTTGAAAATTTAGTAATTGATGGCTAAATTCTTCAGTATTATTATTAGAATATTATAGGGTTGTTGAAGTGATTGGATCACAAACTAAAATGGCTTAAAAAGACACAAAACTAAAGTAGAAGCAAATAAATTAAGTAAATATATATATAAATTTTAATATTTAGATTTAAGATAGCAGCAGTGAAGAAGATGTAAAATAAGTTAAAATTAAATAATCTTTTACTCAAAATCAAAATTCAAAGCCATAACAAATAAAATCAAATTTAATTGTTTAACCTCATTAATTTTAGCAGAAATCCACATAAAAAAATGAATAAAAAATGAAACCAAAAATAAACCAAATAGTTTCAGAATCAGAGTCATCTTCAGAAGATGTACCTATTAAGAAATCATAGCCAGCAAATAAAATATTAATAAATATTTTATCTCCAGAGGAGGAGTTAAAAAATAAATAAGAAGAATGGAAAAAAACATTTACTAAAAGTTCCTAGAAATAACCAGATTAGCAAATATCTTAATAACCAAAATCCAATATAAAATTTAATCCTATCTAATAAAATCCACCACAAATTTCTTAAAATTAAACTAAAGATAAAATAATACAATAAGTAAGTTCAATTAAACCTACTACAAAACTAAATGAATTTATCAAACTTCCTGTATAAACTTTAAAAGATGACCCTACTTTAATTGAAAAAAATGATGAAGTACTTTTTAAGTACAGTTATCTAGATGTTGAAAAATGCGAACCTACCGTGAGCAATTTATTAAATGGTATAATTGAGGAAAACTCTTAATCAGGAAAAAAACTAATAATCTTAACAAAAAGAAATGAGAAGTTGTCAATTTATTATAGTGAGATTTAAGAGTTGTAAATTAATGTAGCAACAATTTAATCATAAGCTAGAAAAGCAGCCATAAGAGTTTTATCTCAAGATGTTGATGCTAAATAGTAATAATAATAATCATAATAATAATAATAATAATAATCATAATAAGAAAATTAATAATAAAAAGTATTAACCTAATCAGATACTAATTCAACAAAAATTCCATAATAATTAAAAGATGTTATAGATCCATTTGGGATTGGCTAATAAATTAATTATTATTATAGTGATAAAAACTATTCAAAGGATGATTTTATTTTATAACACTCTGCTTAAGATTCAGAGAAATGTATTATATATTTAAATTTTTAGATATGCAAATGAAGTTGTTGTTGAACTTTCCAAAAGTAAAATCAAAAATTAAAAGTGAAGATGAATTATTTGATATTATAGATTTATTTTTAAGAAAAACTAAATAAGATTTGGTGAATTTTGAATTAAAGAAAAATAATGATGGCTTGTGGATGATAAGAAAAAAGTAGATTGCCTGAGAATTTATAGCACAATCAATAATAATAAATAGTTTATCAATTATATATTCTTTAATACACTATTAAAATAAAAGAATTTAGTTAATGCTGCTTAAATTTTAATAAGTATTAATCAAAGTAATTAATTACTGATATTTAGATCATTTATAATAAATAATCAATAAATTATCAGGTAATATAATTTTTTTTTTTTAATTAATTTAATCTATAAATGAATTTAGCAATTTAAAAAATGGATAACCTTTATCATTTATGAAAATAAATGTATGAAAAATTGCTAAACTACAATTATATAAATAGTTAATTTTATATTTGAGTGGAAAGAAAACATTTATTTAATACTTTTGTATTTGCTTTTAGTTTTAATATATTCTCTATTTTTAATTTATAAAATATTAAAAATTCTAATAATTTGTATAAAAAAATAAATTTAAGAAAGAGGATCGAAACTATCAATTTTTCCAATCAGATTTGTTTTAGGTATTCTTTTAAAGTTCCATCAGTTTGAATAAAATGAATCATAGTCAGATTTTGATTTAATATATAAAAATGAATTCTTATTTTATAATAAGATACAAGAATTAGAATTTGTTTATTCTAAAAATAATTGCAAGATATATTATTTAAATCTTATTTTACTAATTAGATAGTTTGTTTAAGATTAATTTCTTAGTTTCAAATAAATTTATAATTATTTATTTTTAATGATCAGCAATACAAATTCTTTGCTTAATCGATTAGATATATCTTTAGATTATATCATATCCCTACTTTCTATTGGATTGGAAATTTATTTACAATAAAAATTGGATACATTATAATATTTTAGTTTCTGTTTATTGGCCTTAGCTGGAATAGCAAAGTTTGTGGAAAAAAAGAAAATTTTTGGGATTAAGTAAGGTATGAAAATTGGATTTATCATGATTTAGATTACACAGCAATTTTCTTTTGGTGTCTTGCACTTGTAAGGGTTGTGTTTATAAAAAATATTAAGAAAGATTAAGCAATATTTTGGCTATATAATCTAGGTTTTAGTAATGGACAGTATGTGAGTATTACTCCAACTAAATTTATAAACAATGTAACTTAATTAATAAAAGCATTTGTATAATTCGGATTGCTAGTTGGTCTTTTTATTTATTATTTTTAAGAGTAATTAGTATCAAGTATTTTACTCATTATGATAATGCTATTTATTTAATATCAAAATTATCGTTAAAATATTAAGTTATTAGAACTGAATAAAGATGAATTGTATTATTAAAGTAATACTAATTTAAATGGATCTCTTAACAAATTTATTTCTAATAATAAAGAGCAATCAAAATCAAAAGCATAAATTCCAGAATTAGGATCATTAAGTAGACAAGAAGCATCTATGCATCTGATACCTGAATAAGTGAACATTTAAGCACCAACTTAGAAAATAGTTTGGTAGTAACTTATAGAATAGAGTGAAGATTACATTAGTAAATTTTATTATACCATGAATAATTTAGAAAATAACATAAATTAAGCATAAAATAATTATTCAATGTGCAAATTTCTATAAGACAACAAAATCTAATTATCTTCTTTGTTTAAGGAAATAAAAATAAGCAATGATTTAAATGTTTAATTATACGAATCAAATAATCTAGATAAGAAATAAGATAGTCTTTTTGAATGGATACAAATGAATGTTAATACATCAAAATTTTAGGATATAAATTATCAAAGAGGATTGGAAGAGAACTTAGCTATAAGTTCTCAAATTAATTAATTATCTATAGGGAAGATGATGGATGCTTATATTGAGAAATCCATATCTGGCATATCTGCTATTTAATTAATTTAGGGTTCTCTTGAAGTATCAAATTTAAAAAATAGAAGAGTTTTTTATGGGAAATATAATAGTAGGAAATAGAATTATAATTTTTACATTTAAATTTGTTTTTTTGAAGAAGTATTTTTAGTATTTATAAAAGGAAGTAGATGGTGTTTAACGTTAAGTGGTGGCTCTTCTTTTTAGAGATTTGGAAAAGTAAGTTCGATAAATTAGAACAAATTTGAAAAACATTCAAAAAATCAATTCGACAATAAAATTTTTGAAATTGCAAGCAGATTTAATTTAGAAAATTCATAAAAATATAATTGTTCAATAAAAAATGATCACTGAGATTTTAAATCCCAAATAAAAAAATACTAATTTTATTAAGAGAACAAATTCAATTTGTTCATAAAAAGACAGCGTTGATGATGCATTATCAGACATTTCTGAGAAAGGTTAGAAAAATTGTTAAATAACTTAATTTATCAATTAATTATAATTTCAATTTATGAAAATAACCCAAAACAATTTTAATTATTTTGAAGTTTTCTCTTTAAATGAATACATTTAGCTTGAAAAAAAGAAAGTTGATATAACTCAAACAATTAATTTGTTAATTAATTAGTTTAATTATGATGAAATAGTTATTGGATAGAAGATTAATATTTCTTTGAAAGATAATTTAAAAAATAAATACATAATGACGGATATAAGGTATATTTATAGATATTATATTTAGACGATTGAAATAATTATTGTTTAATATTATTTACAATTCAATTAAATCTTATGAATTCCATCTTAAAGATTCAAAGAAAGAAAAGATAATTTAAATTGTTCTTAAAAATTATGAGGCAAATATTCGTTTTGAAATAATTGATTATGGATGTGGTTTAAAAGAGGAAAGTGTAAATCCTAAAAGGCTTGATGATTGTAAATTAGGTTTAGCTGCATCATAGAAATTGATTAAATTATTAGGAGGCAATGATAAATAATTAAAAATTATTCGTTCTCAATCGATGAACTAAACAAATGTAATATTTGAATTACCAAATTTTTTATATGTTGATAAAGCAGATATTATGGGAGATGACTTTGATTTTGATACCATTTAATTAGTCTTTACTTCTTGAATTGTAATATTATTTTTATACAATTATTATTATATTATATCTATAATAATTATATATAACAACTAAAACTTTTTATTTTGATTCTCTAACTATTTGGATAAAATTTATTACTTGAAACAGTAATTTAAATTTTACTGAATAAAAATGTCTATTAATAAATTATAATTTTAACTAAAATAATTAGTAAATTAAATTAAACTATATTTTTTTAATAAAGTGAATATAATAATTTTCATTAATCTTTTAATAGTGATCTGAGGGCCCTTTCAAAATTTGAATCTAAAATGATTGATTTAGATGGCATTATGTATGTCAATCTTTGTGCTATATGAAGTTTTTCAATTAATTTATTTTTAATATAAGTTATAATTAAGATTTCTATTAAAAATAAATTAATAAACATAATGATATTATGCATCTATAATAAATATGAAAAATTACATTGATTAGATTCATGAAATACTTAGTTTAATCCATCAAATCAATGTTAAATTTATCATTAACAACTTTAATTATATTTGATACTAAAAATGCACCTTCTAACTCTAAATAACTTACTTGACTTCTTGAAGTAAATTGATTAATTTCCATATCAGTAGTAATATGATTTATAATATAAATAAGTAAGGCCTGAAGACCTCTTTTCATATTTTAATTAAGCACAATTTGACAGATATTATTAGACTTATTTTTTAATTCTAAAGGTATAAAGTCACATAAGCTATCATTCTATATTTAAGTAAAGAATCCTTTAAATGAATCAGAAACCACATACTTATCAAAATTGTAGTCATCTTAAATAAAAGCTTTTGTTCTATTTAATGATTCAACTATTTCTTCTAGCAAACTATCATACTCATTTTAAGTGAAATATGGAATTATAGCTTTTCTACTATAAAGAACATCCCTTTAAGCAAACATAGTTGGTACATCAGTCCCTACATCAGAAACTTCTTTATAAAATTTAGCAGTTTCTGGATATTTTTCTAAATAATTCCAACCTTCATAATAAGTTAATGAAGCATTCCCAGCTGTAAGTAATAGTAAAATAAAAAAAAACAAATAATAGTAAATATCATGATAATTTAAGATACTTAATTATTTAATATTACGTTTCTTTTAATAAATTTTAAGGTTTGTACTATCTAAAAGGGATTCCTTATTGTCTAAACGAAATTAATATCTAAATAACAAATTTTAATTTTAATTCACCCCTTCTATTAATTTTTTTAAATAAGTTATTTCGAACTCAATATATTGAATTTATAGATATTAAGTTAGTGAATAATGTTTGAGGACTATTTTTTATAATAGAATAAAATATATAACTGAAAAACTATATTAAATAGTTAAGGCTCCTAAACAAATAAAAGTAATAATTGAGAGTTTAGATTAAATTTAAAGTGATCTTTTCAAAGTTTAATCTAAAACTATACTATTTAATTCAGAGAATTATTATTTGATTGTTAAATAATTCTTATATTGAAAGTAAACATATGGACTATCAGAAACGATTCCTCCATCTAATTCATAGGCCATTTTAAATGAATATTAAAAGTTCTTCAAGATACTTATACTATTTCTAAGGTTGAGATTATACAACTCTCCTTAATTTGTTGTTACATATTCATATATTTCTATGTAAGTTTTTTCCAGAAAATTTTAAAGTGCAGGCCTATTAAAAACCTACTTTAAATTTTTATCTAATGAATCATAACCCAAATTTAAATTAGATAAAGGAAATTAAATCAAATTTTAATATTCTAGATTTGATATTTCTCCAGCATCATTAAGTAATTTATAATTAAATATTGTCCATCTAGTTAACAAAAATGTTTCTAAAGGTTAAAATACAAAGTTTTTTATTTATAAAATATCTATATCTGAAACAAGATCTTTTAAATTGAAATTTAATTCGATTATTTACTAAATTTAATAAAAATATTTACTATAGTTTGAATTATAAATTAAAATACAACACAAAGAATGATTGAAGCTAAGAAAATTCGATGTAATTTAGAAAAACTATTTAAATCTTTTATTTTTGCAATCATTTCAAATTATCTAAAATACTTTGAGTTTCTAACACCTTATAAACTAGAAACTTAAGAAGATTAAACTTCTTACATAAATATTACTTGATCTCCACTAAAAATAAATAGTTTATCATTACTTTGATATGGATGATTTTATTTTTGGTTTAGAAAAGAATTTTTATTCAGCTAACAATAATTCATTTTGTTTAGTTGTACTTTTAATATTAGTATAATCAAGTGTTGATAACAATTTTGTTTGTTATTTCTTTTAATCTTATATAGTTGGTGTATTATCTAAAAAATTGAAGTCTTGCTAATTCAATTAAAATATATAGTGATTTTTCATTACTTCATCTTCTTAATATGGTACATGTATTGTACTTTCATCATTAATAATGGCTAATGAACAATGATTTTATTTTTTTATTAATGGACTCATAAAAGGAACTGAAATTGATTAATTTTAGCAAAAATAAAAAGGAGACCTTTTAAAATAATCAAAAGATATAATAAAATATTTAGTAATATCATGAACAATTCCAAAATGCAAATTAAAAGTTGTTATGAATACTAAAGGATGACTGGATGTTTAAGATTGTTCATCAATTTGTTTCTCTACATATATTTCTGTATTTTCAATTTGTTGTTTATCAAAAAAATATTTAGGAAAATTAGGTATTAATTTATTAATATGATTACCTTAATATTATTTATATTATTATTCTATTCCTAATTCTTAAATGAATTATTAACTTATACATTTAATTAAATGTTATTCATTTAAAATTAGATTTAGAGTTTGATTCGCAGGAGGTTATAAGAAAGCAATAAAATTTAATTCCTCAACAAAATTAATATCAAATAATAATTCAACTGAACTCATAAATTCCATCTCATGATTATATAATAAACATTAATTTAATTATCTCATGTATTTTGATTTTCCATATTTTAAAAAATTCAACACTAAATCATCATGAATTTCTTAGACACCTTTAGGAATTAGATATTATAATTCTAATCCTTTTAATTATTGATTAGTTAATTATAAAAATTAAGCAGCATCACTTGAGGGTCTTTTTATAATCAATTTGCCATCAAATTTTAAAATTAAATAAATCATTTTGTTTGAAAAAATATCTTAATTTAATGTGATTTTTTTTATTTTTTCATCTTACATAGCTACTAGATTAAATAATTAATTTGCTTAAAGATAATCATTCATAATTTCTCCATAAAAAAATCCTAAAATTCCTTAGGTTTTTTCGCATGGAAATTCTTTGTATTATTTTTCTAATTTTTCTTTGAAATTAATAATCTTTTTTATTATATTATGATAGTTCTCATAAGAATTATGTGATTAATGTTATGTAAATTATTCAAGACAATGAATTTTATTTTAAACTATTTCTACTATATCATTCTATATTGAATAATTTTGTTCTTCACTATTCAGTAATAATTTAATTGTATGAGCAATATTATCAATTTTATTTGTTCCACATATAATTTTTTATATATTATTTATACATTTTTGTAAAATTATTTTTTTTTTTAAACTCTCAATTAAACTTAATTGATCATCTTAAATACTATTTAATTCTAAAAATGCTTAATAATTTTTATTTTAATATATTAAAAAAGATGAATAGATAATTCTATTTCTTGGTTTTTTTGGTTTTGAAACATATAAAAGTTAGATGTCTTTTACATTTTCAAGAAATGCTAATAAACTGATTATGTGGCATGGTATATGCTTTTAATTGTTATAAACAATATTTTTTAGTTAATTTTAATAGTAAGTATAGATCATTTTATAAATTAATGGTATTATTACAATTTCAGCAGACAAATGAATTTACAATTATGCTATCCAAAACCAACCAAAAAAGAATGTTATAATTTTAATAGTTAAGAGTATAGTCTTAGTTATTAGATTTTTAAAAGATGAAAATAACAATTAATTTATGATTCTCAATATGTTTAAAATAATTGCTAAAATTACAATAATAGATTAAGGAAATCCATAAGAATAGAAAATCATTAGTAAATAATTTAAAATTACTACAATTAAATCTAAATTTGTGAATCTAGTATGCTAAAAGTTTTTGGTTTAAACATTTAAAGTTCCAGAAATTATCAAAGTTTCCGAAAATGATATTAATACTAATAAAGTATGAGTAATTATTGAAATAGATCCTTTAGAAATTTCAAAAAAGAAATTTAGCATACTACTACGTAATAATTATCCAAATATCCCTATTATATTATTATATGGAATTATTGTTAGTAATGTAAATATATAAATGACACTTAGCATTAAGATGATGTATTATGGAATTTCTGAGTCTATGAAATACTACTAGGGCCTAGCATAGATAGATATCATATAAATGTAGTAGTAATTACTTAACCCATAGATGTATGACAGACTTAAAAAGGCTTGTTGGACTCTGAAAAGCAATATAACGTAAGGTGGAAAAACTATTTGGTTTTCTTCATTTTTTAAGTAGACTCTTATCAAGTAATTTGTCAATTTTTGAAAAACTTCTTTCATATTCATAGATTTTGAAGTATCTAATTTATTATAAATATATGTATAGGAAGTGTTAATTATTATAAAAAATGATTGATTAATTAATTGCTTAACATTTCTAAAATTAGCAATTAATGTTACATATTATGAATATAGATTAGTAAAGAAGAGAATACTTCACTTTTTTACTCAATTCATATTTTAAATTAAAAAATACATCAAACTTTTTTTTATAAATTAATGATAAATTTTAGAATAATTATTTAATTATTTTGAATTTATGTTACATAAAATGTAAAATTAAAAATTCAAATGTGCATAATCTATCTTAAATTTCTCTCAAAACTATCATTTAATATAATTGTTTTTATAGGCATCAAATATGGAAGTCTTTAAGCTAAATATAATTTGTAAATTAATTTATTCTTTATCTTCGTTAATGTAAGCACAATCAAAATGCATAAAAATATAAGAATGACTAGATTATGCACCTAATTTAATAATCTATAAGTAATTATACACTGATTTTATTGATATAAAACTAAGTTTGGGACACTAAATCATAATGAAAACTAGTATTTATATCTTTGATAATATAGGAAACCAAAAAAGCACCCTCTAATTCTAAATAGCTTTATTGTAATTTTTTTGTAAAATGATTTATAGCCATATCTGTATTAATAAAATTACTAATATATATTAATAATCCTAATAAACCTCTTTCTAAATTTTAATCCATAATTTAAGGACATATAGTTGATGATTTCTAACTTATATAATTAGGTAGAAAATTACAAAGATTTTCTTTCTAAATCTGATTGTAATAGTCTTTAAATTCTGTTGAAATAATTAAGCTTTATTTAAGATAAATAATTTACTTATCCATATTAAAATCTAAAGTTATAAATTTAGTAGTTCTATTTAGAGATTCTTTAATTTCTAATAAAACTCTAGACTTTTCAGTATCATTTAAAAAAGGAGCTATTAATTCAATATTATAAAGGATATCTCTTTAAGCATACATAGTTGGTATATCTGTTCCCACATCTGAAATAGCTTTGAAAAATTAAGCAGTTTCTGGATATTTACTTAAATATTCACCACATTCTTCATAAGTTAATAAAGCATTCCCAATCATTAACACTAAAACAAAAATAATATACAAATAATAAACAAAGTACTATTTCAAATAATATGGTCTATGTAATAATTTTTTCTTTATATTCATAATATAAGATTTATATTAAAATTCTTTTTCTCTTTATTCAATATTAATTTAAAATCTAAATAATGGATTTGTATTTTTATTCAAACGACCAGATATAAATTTCAATCGATTTATTTCTTAATATGTGTAATCAGTATCCATATTTTAAATGACACCATAAAACTTATTAATTAATCTCTAAATTTAAAGAAAATAATTAAAAGATAAACAAAATTAAATCAAAGCAATTCCTACAGCAATAATAAAAATTAACTTTTCTTATGATTATTCTTATTATGACTTAGCAATAGTATTACTTAATATTTATTCATTTAATTGATTAAATTCTGATTTCATTGTTAAATAATTCTTATATGAATAATAAACATAAGGAGAATCTGAAACTATTGTTCCTTCAATTTAATATTTCTTTTTAATTTCATATTAATAGTTTAATAATATTTAAATACTATTTCTTAATGTTAAATTATAGAGTTCCCCTTAACCTGTAGAAACATAAATATATATATCTAGAGATTTATTTTCAAAGAAACCTGAAACACTTATTCTATCCAAAACTTATTTTAAATTTTAATCTAATTAATCATAACCTAAATTCAAATTCTATCTAGGAAACTCTACAAGATAATTAAATTCCTATTATGTTATTTCTCCTGTGACTTACATTTATATATAATTAAATATAGTCCATCTAGTTAATAAAAAGGATTCAAATGGTTAATATACAAGATTTTTTATCTACAATAAGTCTATATCAGAAGCTAAAAGCTATAAATTGATATTTAATTTAGCTATTTACTAAAATTAATAAAAAATATTTACAATTGATTAAATAATTACTTAAGAAATTATACTAAAAGTAAAAGTAAAAATAAATAGTTTATGATATTTTGAATTTCCTACTTGTAATCTAATCTTTGAATATAATTCATATTTTTTATAGAATTCTGATCGTTTTAAACCTTGTTGACTAGAAATCTAGGATGATTAACATCCATCTATGTTAACTTTTTCATCATGAATATAACTTTCATTTTTATGAGAAATCAATTAGTTAGACAATTTTGATGGAATTTTGTTTACATTAGAATAAAATCTTTATTCCAAAAGTGTTTAATTACATCTAAATGTACTTTTAATATTAGTTTATTCAAATTTAAATTCATTAATCATATGACTTTGTTCTGAACATAAACCTTCTCCATAAATTTATTAAGGATTTTATCTTTTAACATCTTCTTCAATAGGTATTTCAACAGGAGCTTCTTCACATATTTCATTAACATTATCTTCATATATATAATCTAAAATTAAATGATGAGTTGTATTTATAGAATCACTATAACTAGAAACTTAATTATTTATGGTTTTTTTAAAATACTCAAATTAAACATAATAATATGCAATTCTATCATCTAATTTCTTTGTTTTAATACAATAAGATGTATGATAAGGATGACCTCTAGAAGTTGAACTTTATCTTACATCTTAATTTTCAAAATGAGCTTCAGCATTTTCTATAAAATGATTATCTAAAATGATATTTGGAAAGGTAGGGATTATTTTTGAAATTTTCATTCCCAAATAAAATTTAATACTTTCTTATAAATCTAATTCTTAGATTAATGCTTTACTCATACAAGCAATAGTGAAATTTAAATCTAAAATAATAGATAAAACTTAACTCATTGTAGGTTAAATAAATACAATAAAATTAAGTTCTTAAATTAAATTAGTTTCAATTGCAAAATCTATTTCCATCATATATTATTAATATTTATAAAACAAAAAGTTAATTTATAATTATCTAAGATATTTTGATTTTCCATTTTTTAAGAAATCTATAACCATTTCATCATGATTTTCATTAATTACTGGTGGAATTAAATCATCTATAATTTTATTAGTAAGTGATTCATTTGAAATACCTAAAAATGAATCAGCATCATATGATGAAAATTTTATCTTCATTTTCCCATTAAATTCAGTAATTAAATAAATCATCTTATTATTAAATACATCTTAATTTAATGCAATTTTCTTCATTTTTTCATCTGATATAGCTAATACACTGAACAATTAATTTGTTGCTAAATAATCATTCAACAATTCAGTATAAAAAAAACCTAATACACTTTATGTTCTTTCACATGGAAATGTTTCATATTATTTCACTAATATATTTTAAAGATTTATGAGTTTTTCAATATATTTTAATAAATGATCAAATTTTAATATATAATTTTCTTCTATTAACAATCTCATACATTCAATTTTATCATGAAGTAATTCAATAATATTTATTTGAGTTTAAAAATTTTAATTTTCATTTTCTATTAACTATTTAGATATTAATGTAATACTATTAGTTGGTTTACTGTAATTTTATGTATCATAACTGATTTTTCTCAAACATTATTATAATATTAGATTTATTTTTAAATTCAATAAAATATTGTTATTAAATTATAGTGATACTAAATCTTTATAAGCAATATAATTTTAATTTTTGGCCATTTTAATCGTTGAAAATATAATTTAATGTTCAATGCTTACTGGAGTCTAAACTTATAATTAAGAATAATTGTCAATATTTTTTATGAATAATACTATTTAATTTATAGATGTAGGAAGTCCTTTTATAGTATTATATCTAAAAATTCTAAATAATTACTCATAGGCAAATAGTGATATTCTATAAATTAATGGTATCATAATCATTTCTGTTTAAGTGTTATTAATTAAATCAAAACTCTTTATTATTCCAAAATAAAGAGAAAAAAAATTTATAGTTAGAAAAATAGCCTTATTATTTATTGAAATGGATGGTTGTCCCACAATTAAATTTATAATCTAGAAAAAAATTATACAAAAAGCAGTTATATCTATGGCTATTTGAGAGGAAGTATATTTAAAAAGGATCATTATCAAAATATTGAGTATAACTAATATTGCATCTTAAAATGACAACTGTATTTTTTGAAAGTTTACTATTTTAATATTTAATGTTCCTTCAAGTATAATCGAATTGACTAATGATATTAGAATAATTAAAATATGTGGTAATATTTGAAATGGACCAGATGTAATTTCAAAGAAAAAGTTAAGCATACCACATTTTAACAATTAACCAATTGCTCCAGTATACTTTAAATTAAGTAAAGGTATAAAGTTTAGTATATATATGAAGGCAATTATAAGAGTTAAATATGAACCTAAAATTGATGAAGGAATATATATCTGTGGTCTAGCAAATGCAATAAAAATTGTTAAATATGAAAATTCTGAAGCCCCATAAATATATGACAAAGGCACAAATTGTTATTATATGGTTAAGATCAGGATTAATTCTTATGGGAATATATATTGATTTTTTTCTTATTAATTAATGATTTTTGATAAGATTTTGATTAATTTTTAGATGCACACATTCATTCTGATTTTAATTTGAACCTTAAAGTTTTTATAAAAATAATAAAGTATAATAAATATGATAAATTGATTATTGAATCAAATTAATAGAGTTTACTTTATAAAACCAATTAATTTAATCATAAGTAATACAGAGAGAAAACAAATAATATAAATTTATTCTGAAAATGTGTAAATCATTAAAACAATAAACGCAAACTAGAATAAAATAACTGATTATAATCTATTACAATAATATAATATTGTATCAATGAGTCTATCAAATTAATATAATTTTTATAACATCTTTTTAGGAAGAGCGATAATTTAATTGAAATTATATCTGTGATCCTGAAAATTAAATAATTCATTATTTTTAAATCCTAATATACTTATTTAATTTTATAAATAATTAATAGTAATAAATAATTGTTTAACTTTTCAAAAGTGTTTAAAAATTATATAATTTAACAGAGTTTTCTGAGTATCATCCTGGACATAAAGGAAATATAGAAAAAACTAATTAAGAAAGACTCTATGAATAGTATTTATGAGTCCAAATAATATCTCTAATAATGTTGCATAGTAACATTTATAAAGAATTCCGATTTTAGAGTAACCAAAATTCTGATTCAATATATATAATATAATTAATTATTCAATCAAATATTGGTTTGCGAATAAATTTGTTGCTATTCCCAATTTCATAACTCATTTGTTATTTTAAGATTTTAGTTTATGAACCAATAATTTTTTAAGGAGATTCTTGAAAATATAATTTTTTTGGTTGGATAATATGTTGATTATTGTATTTGAGTACTGAAGTAGATTAGGTTTAACAATGATTGAGATTTTATCTGTTTATATCGTACTTGGTTACAATATCTGAAGGAGTACGAATTAGACTATTTCTTCCTGCTAAATGCTAATATTTTTTTCGAATTTCTATTGGTGAAGTTTCATGAAATGAGAATTGACGATGAATTTGGAATCGCTCTTTACACCAACAACAAATTTGATTAATCAACTCGAGAGATCTTGAATCATTATGTTCTCCTTAGATTTTAATAAGGTCTCTTAAACCATTATGCTATTAATATAATCCAATAGTATTTTTTGATTTAATTAATGTATCTTAATCACTACAAATGTAGAGAGTTGGTACACTAGAATCAGCCCTTTATATTTTTATATCATCAAATTTAAAATTTCCTTATGATTCAATTTTGCCTAGATTATTTATATTTACTAATACCTTTCAATAGATATAGAACACTTTTTATTATCAACTTTGGTAAGGAAGTAGATTTTTAAATCATTCTAACACATGCCTTATTAAGATCTGTAAAACATGAATCCAATACGTAACCACTTACATAAGGTTATTTCTTTAACTAAATAGTAGTGGCTCCTAATGATCTCCCCCATAAAATAAATTAATTTTATTAGAATCTTTTTTTTATATCTAATATGATACATGTGATATCATTTTATTCTAAATAGCTAATTTAATAAATTATGTTACCCAAATGTAATTAAATCTCCTTAACTATGACCACATCCTTGAAAATCAAAAGTACAAAAATTTAGATTATATTGAGCAGCAACATGAGCATATTTAACACCTTCTACACGACAACCATTAAAACCATGACAATAGATTATACAACAGTCACTTATTGGATTTATTTCAAAAAAAGAGCATTTTAATTGATGACCCTAACGATTTATAATACTAATTTCATGTTTGAATAGTGTTCCATTTGTAAGAGAGAGTCTTTCAGGACCTTGAATAATTCTGAATTCATACCCAAATCAAACATTTGATATTCTAATCTACGAGGTCTCAAAAATTTTCTACATTCTTATTCAAAGTACATTTATATAAAATTAATCTTATTTATTTTTTTATGTTATTATTATACCATATCAGATATCAAATTCTCCAATTAAAAAGATATGATCAGATGGAAATTATTAACTTGGTAATCCATTTTCATTTATTTCTACACCATCTGTTGGACCTACTTAACTCTATTTTAAATGGACTCCTTTATAAAAAATGTAATCTTTTATATTTGTTTCTAATTTTCCTCTATTTTTAGAAGTAGTTGGCACTGTTATATTAGTACATTTCATTCCTGATATTTCTATAAAATTAGAAACTGCCTCTAATTGAGGTTGAGTGTTGAAATCACCACATAAAATAATCTTATCTTCTTTTAATTATTTATTAATTTATTCTAATTAATTTCTTCTTATCTTTTCAAAATCTGTTTTAGCTTTAAGATGAGTGACTATCAATACAAAATCGAGAAAATCAACTTTGATAAAGAATTAATTAGAAACTTTGTTATTTTCTAGAAACGGTATTATGTTTACAGATTATAATTTCAAATTTTTTCTATATGCAATTAGTATGCCATCATTATTATGTTGTTTCTTTTAATAAATAAATAGATGATCTTACAGAACTTATTCAAAGAATTCTGGGTGATCAACTTCTTCAAAACAGTATATATCACTTGAATAATGTTTTATAAATTAAGCAATTAATTATGATCTATGATTCCATTATAGAAATTCTTTATTGATAAGTGGAAAAGCATCTGAAAGTGTATCTGCTAATGTATTCCATTAGAATATTTTTATAGTATTCATAAAAATATATATTAATTAATAATAAATGCACAATTACAACGTCGATCATAAATATAAATTTTAGACCCGTATTGGAAATTGGTTTGAAGAATGGGAATTGGATGAAACAAAGTGATAAATTGTGCATAAATTATATAGGAAAAAAGACTATTTAAAAAATAGATAAAATGGATAACTGGCAAGCATTGTGAAGGATACAAAGACAAATTACAGTTTAAGATTGGCATCTTTAACATTTCCATAGGATGATTACATTCATTTTGGATTTCATTTGATGCTTTAAAATCTAAAGACTTAAGGATTTCTATCTATTGATATATAAGAGAAATTAAAAATAGAAGAAGAAGCATATAATATTACAACTGCATCAACTTCACAACCTACAGTAAGATCAGTGTTTGTTATAATTCCTTATACTAAAGAACCAAATTATTATGGAGATGATGTATTACATTATGGATAGCATTTCAGAATTGTAGCAAATCCTAGAATATCTAATAATAAAACATTCTATCTTCATTCACTTCCACAAACACCAACTAGATGTGCTAAGATATCTAGAAAATAAGAGGTATGTGCAATAGAGAGTGATGTATTTAATACAGTATGGAAATTTGAACATGCAGATCCAAAAATAAGATTTGAAATGGAAGGATAACCAGTTAGATCAGATGATACAGTTTTAATTAAACATTCTTTTACTTAACATTGGTTAGCTAGTGATGATATTGTATATTAAAATGATTTTGGAAGAGAAAGAGAAGTATTTGTGCATTCTTATTAATGCTTAAATAAAACATAAAATTTAATAGCTGAAAAGGAAGGGAGAACAACCATCGATATTCCTTTAAGAAATTAAGAGTAATATAAATACTTAATTATAATAGACCATAAAATTTATGGAAATTTTAAGTGGCTAGAAAATAAAATGAGTAATTTGATGAATCTGTTATGGATGATAATAGAAATGTTAAGAATTTAATGATAAGAGTAAAATAATAAATTACAGGCAAAGGATCTTATGGATTAAGAGGATTGGCTAAAATATTTATGGAAATGGATTAAAATAATAGTTATATTATATATTATATATTTTAGATGGTGTAGTTGAATATAATGATTTTAAATGGGGATTAAGGAATTTTGGATTGAATTTATCAGAAGATGAAACTAAAATGATTTTTTAAACATTTGATAAAAATTGTAATGGCAAAATAGAATTCAATGAATTTTTGGATGCTTTCAGAGTATTTCTAAAATCTAATTATATTAGTAATAAATGAGTGATAAAAGACTGTATTATGTATAAAGAGCCTATGCATCTATTGAGTAAAAGGCAGGCAAAGTAACTTTGGAGACTATGGGTAGATTGATAAACGTAAAGGAACATCCAGATGTTTTAAAAGGATATAAAACTGAAAGACAAGTATTCTAGGATTTTGTATCTCATTGGAATAAAGCAAATCCTGATAGAGTGATTTCATTTTAAGAATTTGGAGAGTTTTATTAAGTATAAATATTATATCTATTGTTTAGGATGTTTCATCTTCTGTGTAGTAGGATGAGACTTTTGAGGCTATTTTAAAGAAATTATGGAATTTATGATAATTATTAATAATACATAATGAGCATTAGATTATAAGACATGAAGTTATTTCTTATTAAAGACAATTCATAAGTCAAAATAGAATTGAAACAACAAGATGATATACTATTCAATCTCGTTACTTAAGCAGGTTTATATATTAGAATAGCTTTTTAGATAGATCACCAATTAATATTTTGGTTCCAGTAATTGAAGGCAATTAACCTATAACAATCAAAGTAAATGATTATGAAGCTGAAATCCTTCCTGACAATCTTGAAATGTAGTCAACATATAAATTGCTACTTGAAAATGGGTAACTTAATTAAGAACCTATATAACCTGGAGATACTTTTGCATTGTCATTCAAAGTTAGAAGTGGTAATACCAATACTTAGGGAGCAACAGGTAATTCAGCTATGAATGGATCAACCCTATCAACTTTATAACTAACACAATTGAGACATAAATTGGTTGAATAAGGTAAAGGAACTTCAATGTATTAATCTTCTTCTTCACTCAGACATAGCATACCTGAAGTATCCTTTTCTAAAGCTCAAAGGTCATTATTATTATTATTATTTTAGATTTGATAAAAACTTAACTCTCAGAACTGAATTCAATTACAGTATTCCTGATACTATAGGATCATAAGGCAGATCAACTGGTTTTGGATATGGCAACAAATTCATTTCTCCTTTATATGTTCAAAGGAATGCTGAATAGAATCCACCTCCTGATGCATATTTCAACGAAGAAATCAAATAGCCAACCTAATATAGAAAAACGAATTGGTCTTAGAGTGAAAGATTTAAAATGTCTCATACTGTTCAAGGACCTAGTCCTAACTCTTATGAAGTTACCTAATTGATTGGTTCAAATAAAGTATTTATAAAATATATAATGATAGCCTGCTTGTACTATTGGAGCTAGAATAAAACCTTTAGCTACTTTTTAAGAGAAGGTTCCTGCATCAAATACTTATGAGATCAAAACTTAGATAATTGAACCTTCAAGATTTAATAAGATCTCTCTTGGGTATGGCAATAAGTCTGATTTCACTAATAATGAAAAGACTCCAGGACCAGGTACATATGAATAACCTTCAGTTTTTAAAAATATGTCTACTTCCATTTTAAATAATGGAACATTAAGAACAAATGTAATGAGAAAATGATATTAATTCTAATTTAAAGATTTCATTATTATTATTTACATTTATGGAAACATCTAGTTAAAGTGATCTCTCCATTGCTTCTTTGGCTACTATAGATGCCATTGATGATGCAATTTAAAAAGATAAGAATCGATATGTACGCAAAGGTTTTACAAAATTAATAAAAATAAGGTTATGGATTAATTGTGGCCATCTTTATAGCTTTATCAACTTATTTGACAGTTCCTCACATAATGTTCTTTGTTCATTCCTATCTAGAAGGTATGGAAGGTATTATATAAGATAATATTTTTAAGAAATTAAAATATTCTTACTTGTTTAGTTGAGTACAACACATTTAAGTTATGTGTTGGGAAACATTTACATGTACATCATCTACTCTTTGAAATTACCATTTTTTGAAAGATATAAAGTTGATAATGTAATTTAAAAATATCATAATATTCTTAGAATCCATGGCCATGGGAAAAGAATAAAGAATAATGGAACTAAACAAAGAAAAAGGTTCTTCTTAATTGGATTCTTAATTCAATCATTTCTTCCATTTTAACTATTGGAAGTGTTTTAGGAGGATAAAAATTTAGACATGATACTTAAAGCATCCCATCCTATTTTGAATTAGCATGGCAAATAGCATTTTGTATGATTGTAGAAGATGCATCATTCTATTGGTTACATAGAACTTTGCACAGTCCAAGATTCTATCATATTCATAAAAAACATCATGAATTTTATAATACAATTAGTGTTGCTGCAGAGTACTAACATCCTATAGAATTTGTACTTACTTCTACAGCTACAGCCTTAGGACCAATATTTCTGGGTTCATATATGCATGTGTATACTTTGGGATTCTGGTATATTGTGAGAGTATTTGAAACTATTGATGGACATTGTGGTTATGAGTTCTCTTGGTCACCCTATAGATTATTACCATTCTCTGGTTCATCAGAATATCATCATTATCATCATTCACATAATATTGGAAATTTCTCTAGCTTCTTTTATTATTGGGACACTTTATGTGGAACTAATAAAGAATACTTCAATTTCAAGAAGATAAGAGCTAATGTATAATATAATTTTAAATTATTTATAGGAAATGAAATTAAATATGATGAGAAAAGTTTACCATATAAATTAATAGAAAACCAAAACTTCATGATAATTATCTAAATATATTGATAGAAAAAAAATCATATTATTAAAAATTATAGCATTGAGACTTCTTCTTATTCTGTTTCTCTAATTCATATTATTAGAAGTTTGATATTATTCCAGTGTAAACAATTGAAATTCTTATGAAGGAAAAATTTCATTTGAAGTTAAGTACTATAATACTAATAGTATAAGTACAAATATAGCAAAAATAAGACTTATTTGTCTTAATTGAAATATTAAAGTATTCTTAATTTCAAAGACATATAAATTAGTATGTTCTAAATCTTAAAATGTACAATATTCATTGATTATTTAGGTTTTTGAATAGAATGAGTTGTAATTCTATAATTAAAGTATTTAATAGAATTTATGAATAATTTATTAAAAATTTTAAATTCTTTATTATTAACGAATTGATTAAAAAGTACATTTACAATTGAAAGAAGATTAACTAAATTTATAATAAATAGCTATATAATAAAATATAATAGAAATTTAATAAAGATTACAAAATATTAAAAGTCTTTGAAATATATTAATTTAACCTCCTTTTAATTAGAAACTATTAAAATACAAGGGATAGAATTTCTAAATCTATTACAATTGAAAAAGATATCAACTACTTAAATTTTAATGAAATTAATAAACATTATAGAAAATCTAATACAATGTGATTACAATCATTGATGATCTTATAATGTATAAATCAAAAGAATAAAAATAGATATGTTGTATGATTTATTATTACATAGATTAATTATCATTACTAGCATTCTATTTTAGATATTTCAATGTCTTTCAGTTAATATGACTCAAATAAAAATTATTAAATAAATCCTATTTTATGATGATGATATATTCAGATAAGTATAAACTAAATTTTATTCTCAAATAAATAATAGAATTATTGAACTATAAAGCCAAAGAAATAATTAATTGATTGAATTATTTAAATCTGAAATAATGTAAGAACTTTAAATTTAACAATCTATAAAATGTCATCAATAAGACGAAAAGCTAAAGAAATTGTTCATGAAATTAGCTCTGAACTCTTTGCGCAAGTACTTTAACAATAAAGGAATTCCCTATCATCCTTTAATTACTTGCGTAAGCATAAAACCTGGATGTATTAATAGATGTGCCTCTCTCTAATCATATCCTAATTAATCTGTGTGGAAATCTTTGATAGAGTTACCAAAAGATATACAATAAGAAGTAGCTGAAATTTTAACGAAAGACTTAAATGCAAAATAATAAAAATTCTCCCCAAAATTTCTAATAGAAGCTTATGAAAGGATTAAGAATAACTTTGACTTTTAGAGTTTCTATAAAGAGCCAACCAATATAAACAGTCCATCAAATGATATACAATAAGATTTTTAAAAAGGATAATTAATTGAGTCAAAAGATGATGGGATTAAGATAAAATAGAAGAAATGGTCTAAAGGTGAAGATTTTGTAAGTGAATCAAAATAAATTTCTACTTAAATGAGATTGTGTAATCAATATCCACCATTAGTTAAAGTCAATTAAGTTCATTATCATAAAATGAGAAGTCTTCTAGAAAAAATTAAGGACCAGAAATTCAAATGGTCGAAAGAAATGAAAATCTTTGTTGAAGAACTTGAAAAATTTATTTCAAAAGATCCATAAGCAGAAGAATTAAAACCAAAGAAGAAGATAAAAAAATCAAATGATTAAAAGGAATACTAATAAGATGATGAAGAATCTATATAAAGATCAAAAACACTTTAAGATTAAGTTAAAGTAGAAGAAAATTAAGCATAGGACTTCCTAGACTAATTCAAAATGAAAATTAAATAGATAGAACCTGGTATTGTTATGTACCTTCCAGAATACTCAAAAATAAATCCTTAATATCATCTATGTTATAAAAATCTAGAAGATGCTTATTTCAAAGATCTTTATTATAAAGTGAGGGTTGATGATATGGTATTAAATCCATAGAATATTTTAAAAACTCTTAGAGAATACTTTTCAAATTGTAATTATCTGATTCCATACAAGGAAGAGCATGAACCTTCTTTCAAATGAATTTGAGTATTAATAAAAATTAACTTATTTCTATGAATAATTTTTGATAGGTTTAGCAATATATATTTTTTTTTAATTATTAATTTATATTTATAATCGTTAATTTAGAATATGTTACCTCCACCAGACCTTATTAATTATTCAGAAATGAGAATTTAAGTAAATAATTATTTCAATTATAATAGAAAGTTTAAATTCCTGTATAGGTACCAATATTTAAACCAATCTATGTTGATTACCCTTATCCTAATTATGTTTGGACTTAAGATACAAATTAAGCAGCTTTTTTGAGAACTTAATAAGGAATATAAAGCTTATTAACAAACCCATAAATAAAAAAATAATTAATTTATGAAACTTCAAGTGAAGAATCTGAATCATCATCAGAAAATGAATCTGATTCTGAATCTGAGGAAGTTTAAAAAGTCTAAACATAAGGAAATAGATAAGTAGTTTAGAATCAATAATAATTTATTAATAATGATATCAATGCACAAAATTAAGTTGTAAAATTATTTATATATAAAATAGAATAGTGCTCAAATTTAATAAAATATAAATACTAATTAATACATAGAATATGGTTAGAATTAATAACCAAGACCTCCTATTTAATTAGATTATCATGATGCTGGTTATCAAAAGACTTAATTTCAGATAAATAATTCTTATGTAACAAATTAATACCCATTGCAAAATATAGTATAGAGCAAGTAAATAATCTATTATTAATCATAGAAATGATACTACAGTGAGTAAAAATATTTCAATGGGTAGACAACATCTTGAAAAGTTTAAAAGTTAAATGAATCAAAATAATCTAATAAATTAGAGACAGTCATAAAACTAATATCCAAATACTTTCATTTAATGATATTTAAATAAATAACTAATTATTAATTGTAATAAATTATTTTCAATTCATATTTTCACCTCAACTTTTGGGATATGTAATTCTAGTAAATTGAAATATTATTAGAATTAAATTAAGAGTAATTGATTTTTCTCTTTAATTAATTAATTAAATTTAAATATGAAACACTATTTTATTTAAAAGAATAAATTTAATAGAAATACAAAAATTAACAAAACTTATTAATATATATATATATTATACTATTAACATAGTATTTGATAATCTAAATAGACTGATTATGAATTCTTTAACAAATTAATTTAAATACTATAAAAATGAATTAAGAAGTATTTTTTAATCTAATGATTATGTATTAATAATATATACGTTGATATTAAATTAAAATTTTATATATAATATGAAAAATTATATATATTTATTTATATGGCTAGGAAAATTCTTGTTGACGAATGGTTGAAAGGAGATGTTAAGGATGTCGAATTTAAGAAAAAGACTACAGGCAAGAAGGGTTAACTGTTAGTTGAATTGCAAAAATCATATAAAGGAGATTCAAGATTTAAATTGGATGAAAAATTTAATGATGATTTGAATGTTGAAAAATTGAATAAGAAATTTAAAGATTTATAATAAGATTTAATAGAAGAAAGTTCTGATGAAGAATAAGACTTAGAAAAAGAAATTGATGAAAACTAATTACAAATTAAGTCCTATTAAGATGAAGTTTATTAATAATTATAGATTCTTGCTAAATTAATGCCTGATGATGCTGCTTTTATTTCTTATTAAAAGAAGCCTGATAAAAAGAAATATAATCTTATTGTTCCTAAATTTGATCCGAATAATATAGATTAAAGATTGATAAAAAAGAATGAAGAAAAAAAAATAGAGTAGGCCAAGAAATAAATAAAAACTGAAATTGTTAAAGGAGTTGATAAAAAAACAATAAAAATAGAAAAAGCTAATAAATTATTATAGAGAGTAAAAGAGAAATAAGAAATCAAATTAAATATAGATAGAGGAGCTTGGAAAAACATTATCTAAGAAGAAGGTTCAAAAGGATTATTTTCTTGAATTTAATATAATGCTATAAATTTTTTTAATTAATTCTGTTATATATTATTTAAGCAATTAAGGATTGAATACTAATTTATAAATGATTATGGAAATCAATTTTTTAATATTTATAGACAAATTTTAATTATACATTAAATTTTAGGCGCACATATTATAATTAAATAGTGCGGTTAATGAGAGAGGAAGAAATAATAAAATTATATGTAGGATTTCTTATTTATAAGTGATAGCATCTAACCTACTATTAAGAAGGTGAAACTAGACCTTTTTAACTCATTTGAAGATGAAACAACATCAACTATCATAAAAAAATAGGATCCATCTTATATTCCCTTTTTAAGTTTAAGATAAAAATTTGGTGTACATTAAAAAGGTGGATTTTATCCACTTCCAAAAAAGTATGTATCTCTTTTGGATTTGTGCAATAAAATAGAAATGAATTACTTAAGAAATTAATGTTAAATTTAGTTTACAATCCAAAATAATTTCCCAGAAATCATTTAAGTACTTTAGTTATTAAATTTGGATCCTAAATTATACAAAATAAAAGTAATTTAAGATGGTATAGTTATTTAACATCCATTTTAAATTAATTCTAACAAGAATGATAATAAAACAATTGTAAAATCTTCTTAAGAAATTGCATAGTTATATGATTTAATTAATAAAAGAATATAATAATTAAGAGAAAAACTTGATTAATAAGTATAAATTAAACACAAAGAGCATTTATCAATAATTAATTGTGAAGATTTTGAACAATTTGGATCATAATTCAAAATCTATCATAATGATTTTAATTTGAATGATTGTCCTGATATAAAACCAATTAAATTAAAGAAAACTATTTTCTCAAATGAATTAATATAATTTCATCTTGATATGTTAAATTTCATGACTGAACATTACGATAAAAGAGGTGTTAGTTTCATGTTTTATGATCATATCATTATAATACTCAGTGTTCATTTTAATAAAGTTAAAAGTGAAATAGAAAAAGCTTTAAAAAATATAATGAATTTGATTCCAGATAAAATATAAATTCTAATGAATCATATAAATAAACAAAGGTGGATGATTTAATTGGATAGAGCTTCTCTAACATAATAAAATAAAAAATGTATATTGAATTCATTTTTGTGTAATTGATATCTATTGTAAAATAATAGATTAATTTTATATTCTTTTTTTTAATCATAATAATTATTTCTTTTAAAAATTACAAAAATATTATATATTTTCTTTTTTCTTATTCATTAAGTTCATCTATTCTACTTCTATTATTAGTTCTCACCTGTTTTCTATTAAGTCTTATATTAAAATCAAACTTTTCAATAGTAAAATATATAATATATATATTTTCTTTCATTTTATATTGTCTAATCTATGATGAATGTTCATTTGATATATTTTCTTTTAATTAAGAATAAAAAGAAAAAAAGACTATTATTTATTATAGTACAATATTTATATTATATAAATATAAAACGGATTAATAATATAAAAAAAAATGAAATTGACAGCTATCCTTCTCTTGGTTTTAGTATTAGCAAATGGAGCAAACATAAGAAAACATAAGTAAAATAAAGGAACTAAGCATACAGAAGATTTGGTTCAAATTGAGTAACAAATTGTATAATTGCAATATAGATCTTAAAATGTTGGACAGTCATATGATTTGAGTAACAATGTTGGAATTATTTCCTCTTCAGAAGTTGTTGTCAACGCTTTAACTAACTAAGACAGAATTGAATAAGCTGGATTAAAAGAAAGAAATGCAATTCATAATGCATTGAAAAAAAATCATAAGTCATTTGCATAAGTTAGTGATAATGAAAATTAAATTTACATTGAAGAAACATTAGATTAAACTCCTTAAAAAGAAATTAATTTTGCAGATTTATTCACAAATGATGGTTTATCACCAGATATGGGAAAATAAGCACTTATTGAAGATTCCCCAACAGCTCCTATGGCTCATATTCCATAAGATGATAATTTAGATTATGTCAGAGCAATTGATAAATTGGATTTGTTAGATGAAAATGGTTAACCACTTTAATTACTTCCAGAAGAATTATCACTTTTGGAAATGTCTCAATTTGAAAGCAGATTTTAATAGACTGATACTCCATAAATGGAATAAGCACCAAATTGGGATTTAGAAGCAGCATATGAAAAGACTCCTGGTTAAAGTGAATTATCACCAGAAGAATTACAAAGACAAACTGATTAAATGGTTGATAGTTTAAGAGGAGAACTTGAAAATGAAGATATTTGAATAAGAAATATAATAAATAATATATAATGAAGAAACATTTTACCTATCAAATTTTATTTTCATTAGCTTATTTGTATATTGATATCTATAAATACTCCTTTTTTTTGATAAATAATCATTCATTTTTATTCTAATGTACATGTAGAGATCAAAAAATTCTAGAATAAATCTTTGACAATTCTTAAAATATAGAATATATATCTCTAATATTCTTAAAATTCAATTAAAGAATTAATCTCAAAACTATTTCAAATTTCTGATATAATAGACTTCAAATTAGATTTTAATTTATTATTATAATACTAAAAATCATTTCTTGAATAGAATGTAAAATAAATTTATTTATTTTTTTCCAAATAGAAATAAATGATGAAATTCAATAGTTTTATTGTTTTTATACTACCAAAATTAGTTTAAAATATATCTAATAAATATTTTAATGGATAATATAAATTATTTTATAATTAATATTTGTGAGACATTTATAATTATAAAAATCATTCCATATTATTTTAACATTCTATTTATTATTAATTTTATGTTTTAGAAATTAATTAATTTGTTTCATTTAAAATGTATCCCCAATATTATGATTCTATTTTAATGCTTTCTAATTCCATTTATTATAAAATCTCCATTATTTCTTTAAATTATTAATTTTTATCATTTTCATATCTATTTCTTTCTTTTAATGCCAATATTTTATTAATTAATACAATTAATTCTGATAGTTATTTTATTTCTTTAACAATATCACTTATTTCTTATTCAACTTATTTTTTAGAATCTTCTGGTGATTTTTATTTAATCATATTTTTAAAAGAAACCTTTCCCTAATTCAACTTTTCTAATTGTTTTTCCAATTCAATAATTTTATTTTCTAAGCTTTTAACTTTATTCTCTAAATTAATTTTATCATTAATTTATTTTAATACAATCTTAATAATATATTATAAATTCTTACTTTACAATCCTTAGATTCTAATCTTATTAAATCTAACAAGATTTCTATATTATTTTAATTAAAAACTTATTTTTCTTAATAGGTATCAATTAATTCTTATTTAATTCTGTTAAAAATTAGCATTGATGCATCTGAATTTACAAATGAAGAAACAAATAAATTTTCAAAGTTTATTAATCTTGTTTTGATTATTTCTTATAGACAATTGTTGTAATTCCTACCTGATTAAACACTATCTTTAATTATCTTTTTTATGTTTTTTAATTTAATACTATAATTTCTTACTTAATCTGCAAAATTGTCAATCTCTTTAAGTGTGCTTGCATCAATCTCAACCTTTACATTAAATCATATATTAATACATTTAATATATCTACAAATAGAGTTTAGTATTTTTCAAGAAGATCTTAGGTAGAAGGTGATTTAATAGATTCTAATTTTTTATAAATTTTCTCATCTTTTGATCTTAAAAATATCTGTGACACTTCTTCTGTCTAAAATAGATGAGGCAATTAGCTCAATTTTTAGCAAAAGGCATGTAAGAATTTTTTTCTATCATTGATAGTCTTTACATCATTTCCATTAAAAAGTTTCTTACCAGGTAAACTTGGGACATAGCATCCTGGCCATTAAATAGCCAGAATATTTCTTAAAGCCACAAAATCCTTGAATCTTCGTTGTACTTCAAAATTTCCTTGTTTGTCAGATCCTTTTATTGTGTAATATGTTTGTTTTGAAAATAATGATTAAGAAGTAGTTTGGAACTCAACTACATCAATCACATTTTAAATCATAATAATAATAAATTATATTTAACTAACAAAATATTAGATGAAATAGAAGGTTTCATAAATATCTCCAGATAAATTATATGCTAGTTTATTAAAAAGGAAAAATGAATAAGAATAATAAGCTCGTTTAAAATCACCTATAGTGACAACAAATAAGTAAAAATGTGATTGTTATAAAAAATTAGATATTTAGTTTCCAGTAACAGAAATGGTGGAGGAACTTCAAAAATAGAAGCAAAAAAGTCAAGGCCTGCAAGTGGAAAAGATTTAAAGGATGTGAGTAGTGTTTTATTAAAGAAAACTCATGCTCGTTAAAATAGCAAATTAATTGAAACAAAGGAGAACTCTTAAAATTTATCAACAAGTGCTCTTTCTTTATTACTTAAAATTAAATAAGATAAATGTGAAAATAAACAATCTCAAATTTAATAACCAAAAGATCTTTATAACTAATAAACTATTCAGAAAAAATATTAAAAATTAATGGAAATGACGAAATAATAATAATAGTTAATACTAAAACCAAAATTATTTAAGGGGCCACGTTCGATCAGCAATCCAGACATTTCTACAATGTAATTGTAAATAGTAAAAGCAAATGGATAAAGTGCTGCAGGTATGTTATATAATGGATAAACTAAAACAAATCAAGATATATACAAGTTAATTTAAAGATTTTGTAACAGAGAAAACGATTGGTATATTCAAGTTTCTGATGGACATGGTACAAACGGTCATTAAGTAGCATAATTTTTAAGGGAAGTTCTACCTTAATTTGTTGAATAAGGAGTAGTTCATTTGACATCATGTTATGAAAGAGATAAGTATATAATTAAAATTTAAATTTAGATAAATTAATTTAATACTTAAGAATTGTTTTTTGTAAACTAATGATGAATTAATGGATAGTGGAATTGATATTACATACTCTGGAGCAACAACTGTAGTTGTATTGTCATTTGATAATGTGTTATATTGTGCAAATATTGGAGATAGTAGAGCTATTATAGGAAGATTTGATAATAAATTGTCTGTGATAGAATTATCAAAAGATCATAAACCAGATTGTTTTTTAGAATAAGCTAGAATTCTATAAAGAGGAGGCAGAGTATAGGCTTATAGTGATGAAGAAGGGAATCCTATAGGACCAGCAAGAGTTTGGAAATAGGATGAAGATGTGCCAGGATTGGCAATGTCAAGAAGTTTTGGGGATTATATAGCTAGTTAAGTTGGAGTAATTTAAGAACCTGAAATTATTAAGCATTCTCTATTACCATGTGATAAATTTATAGTTGTAGCTTCAGATGGAATTTGGGAGTATATATATTATTATTATGTATTAGATTTCTATCAAATGAATAAGTTATTGAGACTGTTTATGAATATTACAAAAGAGATGATAGTTAAGGAGCATGTTAAAAATTAGTTTAATTAGCAAGGGATGCTTGGCAAAGAGAGGATGAAGTCATAGACGATATTACAATTGTAGTTGCCTTTATTAAATGATCTTTATTTTCTCTCTAAATAAACTGAATTAGCTAGGGAATATTAATATTTTATAAATGGATTATGATTCTCTTTATTTATTATTGCCTAAAGAACCCAAGAAATGGCAAGTGTCTGATGTTATTATTTGGCTCTAATTCATTGGACTAGGTTAGATGGAGGACAAGTTTGGTATTTTTGTATCCAAAATTCTATAATAGTGAATTGTTCAATCGATGGCTCCATTCTAGAAGAAATAACAGAGAACGATTTGGAAGAAGAATTGGGAATCAATTAGAAAATACTCAAAAAAAAGTTAATGAATTGTAACCATTATCTAATTGGTAGGGATAACAACAGGATTGAAGGAATATAGCATATACTTAAGTTAAATCAAGATAAATACCATTAAAAAATAGCCCAATGAAGAATTCACTCTATAAAAGAATGTAAATGCTTGTTAAGACAAATAATGCTAATCAATTATTAATCAATATGATGAGTTATATAGTTCTTAGAATAAAGTAACCAATTTAATTGAAAATCAACTCATCCTATAACCTTTAGAGAGTTAATAAAACAATTTCTATTGTGTCAAATAGGTTGGGGCAAAGATTGGAAGACATTCAAGTAATCAAATTCTTATTTTGGAAGAAAATATTAGTAGATTTCATGCTGAGATTACTTACCAAGATTCTAAGGTATATATATTAATAATGGTTATTTATAGTTTTATATTAGAGATATAGGAAGCACTACAGGAACATATATAAAAATTTAAAAAAGAATGAATCTCTTCTTAGATATGCTCATTGAGCTTGGTAGTAATTTGTTTTAAGTTACTCAACTTGAAGAGGTCTCCAATGGCATTCAACTTGGACTCCTTGTTCTTGAAGGACCAAACAGCGAAGAACAAATTAGTTTTCATCTTAATCAAGACAAAACTTCAGTCAATTTTGGTAGAAAGGCTAATGCCGATATTGCATTTCCTGAAGATCATCATCTTTCAAATTTGCATGCTAAATTTTATTTAGTTGACAAAAATGTAACTATAGAAGATCATTCCTCTACTAATGGGTATATTTAAATTTATTAATTATTTTTAGCACTTGGTTAAGATTATCTGCTGATGGACAACCCAGTTCAATTTATCCACTTACCTTAGATGATGAAATGACTGTTATCAGGATTGGAACAGTTAATTAATATCTTTGCCAATTAGATAAATTCAGTATAAATTATAATGAATACAATTTTTGTACATTGTGTCATGAAAATGAACGAGATGCACTTTGTCTTCCTTGTAAGCACAATTCTACTTGTTTCAAATGTAGTAAAAATTTGTAATTATGTCCAATTTGCAAAATGAAGATCTCTTAGCAAATTAGAATTTTCAAAAATTGATTAAATATTAATTGTTAATATTGATAGTTTTTTTTTTATATTCCTTCATTTATATGAAGAGATAAATCTTTAAGTTATCTAAATAAATTTAATAAATTAGCAAACTCTATTTAACTTTTTATTAACATCTACTTATTAATTGTATTAAATTAATAAACTATATTAACTTAACATGAATGATTTATATTTTTTCATCATATTATACTCTTAATTATTTATATAGTAGTAGTTAATAAATATTTAATAGAATCAATGTTATTATGGATAAACTTGATGTAAATACTTTAATTCTAAGTCTTTATTATTTAATTTTAATATGAGTAATTAATAAAATAATAATCTCCATCCTCTTTACATAGAACAATAATAATGGCTAGCTCAATTTAAATAACCTCACCCTTAAAATTTTTAATATTAACAATCTCAATAATAATAACAATAGTATGGCACTCCACATTTTGCATAACTTTAAAGCATGGGGTTTTGTGATCATAAGAAAAATTATAGATTGCTTAAACGATACAATTGGAATGTTGATCAAGTTGTCTAATCATTAAATGATTAAAATCAAGCTAGATAGCAATATATCGAATTGAATATCATTTAAATCATATCCAATACAAAAATATTATACATAGATTGTAATAATATTAAGTATGCTTGTCATTAATGGAATCAATTTAGAGGTTAACCTAAAAAGCAAATTAAAAATGTATTAAAAATCATATTGGTTTGGATTTAAATGACTGAATAATAATTAGATGAAGTTCATTTAATATGGGATGTTTACAAAATGAATAAAATTGAAAAAATAAGATAAAAATTATCTAAATATGAACCTTTCAAATATTTTCATGATTTAAGATAGTAAGATAAAATAACAACATTTAAAATTCTAAATAATTAAAAATTTATAAATTTTAGCATTTAGTCAGCATATCCAGAAATAGCTGATGATTTAATAGTTAAATTATGTAATGGTTAAAATAATAACTAAACCTCAGTTGTCACAAGTGATAAAGGTTTGAGGACAAGACTATAGGAAATAGGAGTAACATAATTTATTGGTAATGGCAGATGGTGGAAATTAAAAGAAGAATTGATATAATAATCATAATAGTAATAATAATAATAATAATAATAATAATAATAATAATAATAATAATAATAATAATAATAATAATAATAATAATAATAATAGTAGATATTCAATAATGATTTCTAAGAATGAGTAATTTTTGATTATATATATTTAGAATATTGTATTTATTATATAGAATTACAGATTTGTACAACAATAATAATATAATATATCAATTTTATTTGTTGTTATTATCTCCTCCTTCTTAATTTTATTATTCTCCAGTTTGCTCAGAAGATTGTTATTATTATTACTCACTAGCTCCTCCAGTATTTCGATACCTAAAATTATAAATTCAATATTGATACATGGCTTATCCAATCTTCATGGCTGCATTTTTAACACCTTCAACTGCATCCTTAAGTCTTTGAACATCATTTGCAGTAAGATTTTCAGTTAATAAAACTCTTAAATTTTAGATTGCACTTTCAATTTCTTAAACTTCATTTGGTTATAATTTGCTCTTATGTTCATTGAGAGATTTTTCAGTATTGAAAATAGCACCATCAGCTTCATTCTTTAAATCAACAAGTTCCTAAAAAATAAAATAAAATGCTTACTCTTCTTTTTTTATCTTCATCCTTATATTTTTCAGCTTTATTAATCATATCTTAGATTTCAGCTTCACTTAAACCACCTGATGATTAAATTGTGATTGAATGATCTTTTCCAGTAGCCTTATCTTTAGCAGACACATGAACAATACCATTGGCATCAATATCAAAAGTAACATCAATTTAAGGAACTCCTCTTGGAGCAGGTGGAATACCAGATAAATCAAATTATCCTAATAATTTATTATCAGCAGCCATTTCTCTTTCACCTTAGAAAACTCTAATAGAAACAACAGTTTGGTTGTCACTAGCAGTTGAATAAGTTTAACTCTTTTTAGTAGGAATAGTAGTATTTCTTGGAATCATTTTAGTGAAAACTCCTCCAAGAGTTTCAATACCTAAAGAGAGTGGAGTTACATCCAATAATAATAATTCTTTAACATCACCTTTTAATACACCACCTTGAATAGCAGCTCCAATAGATACTGCTTCATCTGGATTGACTGATTTATTGGGTGGTTTATTAAAGAGATCTTAAACTAATTTTTATACTTTTGGCATTCTACTCATACCACCAACTAAAATAACTTCATCTATTTTGCTTTTATCTAATCCTGAATCTTTAATACAATTTTCAGTTGGTTTAATAGTTTTTTTAAGAAAATCTTCAGTCAAAGATTCAAGTTTAGCTCTGGTGAGTTTGAGATTACAATGTTTAGGTCCTGAAGCATCAGCAGTTAAATAAGGTAAATTAATATCTGTTTGAGTAGTTGATGACAATTCAATTTTAGCTTTTTCAGCAGCTTCTCTTACTCTTTAAACAGCCATTTTATCTTTGGAAATATCAACACCAGATTGTGCTTTGAATTCTGAACTAATCCAATTAGAAAGTATTGAATCAACATCTTCACCTCCACAACTTGTATCACCATTGGTAGCTTTGACTTCAAATACACCAGCATTGATTTCCAATATAGAAATATCAAATGTACCACCTCCCAAATCATAAACTGCTATAATCTTATTATCTTTCTTTTCTAAACCAAAAGCCAAAGCTGCAGCTGTTGGTTCATTAATAATTCTTAGAACATCTAATCCTGCAATTTTACCAGCATCTTTTGTTGCTTATCTTTATGAATCATTGAAATAAGCTGGTACTGTAACAACTGCCTTTGATTAAGGTTTACCAATATAAGCATCTGCAGTTTCCTTCATTTTCATTAAGACAAAAGCTCCAATTTATGATGGAGAATAGGTTTAACCACCTTGAGAAATATATTATGATATTACTCTTCAAACTAACCCAAGCATCACCATTTTAAGCTCTGATAACAGAGTAACTCAAATGTTTAATATCTTTTTGAACATTTGGATCATCATATCTTCTACCAATCAATCTTTTTGTTGCATAAACAGTGTTTTCTGGATTGGTTACAGCTTGTCTTTTAGCTGGTGCTCCAACTATTCTTTATCCATCAGCAGTAAAGGCAACTACTGAGGGAGTAGTACGCATACCCTCGGCATTTTCAATAACCTTTGGTGTACCAGCTAATTAAGAATTAGAACTATAGATACCTTCCATTATGGATACACATGAGTTAGTTGTTCCCAAATCGATACCAATGACATATTCTCCTTTCATTACTTTGCTACTGAATGCATTCACAGTGTGTTAGTTCACTTTTAATGATGGTCTGAATAATTTGCTGAGCATTTAATTACCTCAAATTAATTTTTAATTCTAATGAAATATAACTATTACTTTTATACTAAAAATTAAAATTTATTTCTAGAAATATCCATTAATAATTATTATAATATTAAATCAGACTTTGATTTTGCTAAAGTCAACACTCTTGACTAAACTGAATGCTTCTTCAGTCACTTAAATATCTCTGATTAATTTATTCTTTAAATCAGTATAAATTTAAGTGTCATCAGCATATTGTTCATTCTCCAAATCAAGTAAGGCTTAAGCAGTATTTCTGTCAGATTATCTTTAAGCTTGGAATGATAAGAATTATTCAATTTTTTCTATATTAATATTATAAATATAGAAATACCTTAAGTAGCATTCAAATCAATTGTAATTTTAGTAATTTATCTTTAGAATTCAGCATATTCAGCATCTAATTATTCAATTCTATCTTCATAATCTTAAACATCTTAAGCTTCTTAAGCTGTAGCTGCATTAATAGCATCAACTACTGCATTTCTGAATTCATTCAATTTGTCAACTATTTGTTTGATGATTCCTTAATCTGAGAAGTTTTATTCTGAAGCTAATGTGATTAAAGCCTTAATTAAAGTTTAGTGTTATGAATGTGGTTTAATTCTGGCTTCAATCTTTCTCAAATTGTTTTAGAACTTTTGAATCTAAACTAATGATGGATTAGTCAATGTGCTTAACAAATTTAATGCATCATCAGTGGCACCAACTGCATCATTGAATTCAGCAATTTAAGCTTCAAATGCTTCATGTTCTTATTCTCTAATCAAAGTTTCTTCATCTACAGTTTTTCTATTGAATTCTTAATAATCAATAATTTATTAGATTTTTCCTTTAAGTTATTCTCTTCTTGGATAAAGTAAATTCTCTAATGTATCAGCACTTCTTTAGATATCTTTATTTAAATATAAATATCATACCAATATCAGCATCTTAAACTTCTTATGTATATTATAATGACAATGAGTTGTGTTCATTTGTTCTAACTCCATAATTATATTCAACTTCATCTAATTCATCTTACATTTATTAAATCATTTCTTCAATTGCTCCTACTAAGTCTTATAAAACTCCTCCTGTATGTGCATGTAATTCAGCCAATTATAAAATGGTTTATCCCCAATTAGTTTTCATTAAGGCATCAACATGTTTTTAGGCTTATCTATTCAAGTCAGTTGAAACTGCATTGAGTGAAACAGCTAAAATAAGCAATATGGCAATCTTCATTAATTTAATTATTGTTATACTCTTTCATCAATCAACTTAATCAGTTTAAATCAACTATCCGTTTTCATATAGAAACGATTATTATTAAATATATAATATATAATGATTAACACAAATAATATTCAATTTCTTATAAATAATCTTTCACAATAACTATTCATGCTCCTCATCTAAATTTTATTTTATAGGTGAGGCTACTCTTGAAGAATTTGTGAACATTTCTGTATATATCCTCAATTATTTTTCTTCTTCAATTAAATGTTATTCTTTGACATCTAAGTATTAACTCTTTTTAATCTTAGATAATTTATCAAAATCATCTTAACTCAAAGTAGATGGTCTTATTGACATAAAGCTTAAAATATATATTATAAAACTTACAGATAAAATGACGACAAGAAATTGTAGATAGATATAATTATGATAAAAATAACTTACGAAGATAGACTTCCTGTTTTTAAACCTTATTTGACAACAAAATAAGCTTATAATGCTGTTTAAGGCATGTCTTCAAGCATAAACTACATAAAATATGCTTTAATTGGATTACTCATACTCCTACCTGCTTAATCTGGTATAAAAGTTCTAGTTAACCATATATTAGGAATTACGGAAATATTATATGGTGCTACTTTATCTAATTATTAACTCAGAGCTTGGTTTCTTCCTAAAAATGCTATCTAATATATGTCATTTATAAATTTAGTTGATATAATTTTTGCTGATGTTTCTGTTTAAGTTAATCTTATATAAAACAGATATAAAAACTAGAGTATATAAATTCCTTAAGTGACTGATGTGATAAGTAAAGTTAAAATAAAAAGTATACTTTCATCACAATAAAAACAAGTTAAGATAAACACAACGTCATTAAATAGATCAAATTTATATAATTATGAAAACGCTAAGTTTAAAAGTACCATGAATATTTGTAAGAATTTTGATTCTACTATTTTCTTCTATTGCACTTAAAAAGCCTTTTAAACATCCATGTATGTTTTTTTAGCTCTATCAAATAATTATGGAGCTATTTAATTTTTTTTGACATCTTATCCTTAATTGGCTATTTTTTCTCTTTTAAATTCTGTTTCTTCATCAACCTTTTCTAATTTAATATCCAATTTTTCAATATGATTAGGTATTTATAATTAAAACTAATAAAATAGGAATGCTTCAATTAATGCAGAAAAAGCAGCAAAACCATAATAAACATAATTTGCTTCTTAACTAGTTCCTGCTACACAATAATATGCCTTATCCTCTTTACTTGTATCTCCATTATAATAATGTGTAAAAAAGTATGGGGATATCAAAGTAACTGCCCAAAAGAGAACGTTATTAAAAGCAATTAAAAAGAAAAACATCTTTCTATTTGATAGATAAGTGTTTAAATTTAGAATTTCATCATCAAATTCAAATTTTTATGCTTTAGAAACAAAAAAATTAAACATTGAATAAAACATCTTTTTCATCTTATTTGAAAAAAGATTTTTGTCTTAATAGCTATAAGCAGTTTCTCTAAGAGCGTAACCTATACCAGTATTTAAGAATGAATGAAAACTATAATTAACTATTGAATATTGGAAATAGTGAGTGTCATAAAGTATTGAATACAATCCTTTTACAGCAGGTAAACTTAATCCTCCTTGTATTCTTACAGATTTTGGAGGTATAATTCTAACTAGCTAGATTATATCTTTCTCTGTATATCCTTATCTAAACATTTCCTCACAAAGATTATCATTTAATGAATATTCAATCTATATTTAATCTATTGATGATCTCCAAGTTTTAATTGATTTCCATATTTTTATAATATCATATTAATCAATCATCTCTAAATGAGAAAATTCACTTTAAATGAAATTAAGTTTGTATATAATGCTCTCTCTACTTTTAAGAAATTTAAAAGTATCACTTTAAAAGACAATTTAATATGGAAAAGGTTTTCCTGGTCTTTCTCTACAATATCTGAAAATAGATGCAAATTCTTTTAATGTATTTAAACTAAAATAGATTTATGGATTTTTTATTTAATTTTATTTGAACCATGCATTCATCTTTTTCAAATAATGTTCACAAAAATCTAGATGATATGTTGAAATTTTAACATCTTCAAATTCCTTCCATTTATTTGTCTCTTTAAATTCAGGATACTGATAAAATAATTTTTAATATGTGAGAATTTTTTCTCCAAATTCTTCAGGGATTCCATCATGAATTCCATACTTACTACTTTCATAATCAACAGCCACAGCTTAATGAGGAGGAGGTTTATAATCTGGTGGAGAAGCAGATAAAAAAGGTTGGATCATATCCTTTAAGGTAACATTGTAACAAAGAAACATTTACATTGGTAATTTTTTATTTGGGGTTCTATCTACTCGTTATTTAAATGAATAATAAATGACATCAAGTTTCTCCTAAGAATCCAACATTGTACTAATCATATTAAGCTCTATTAAATCTACTTTAGGGTGTAAAAAGAAGTTATCGAAAATATTCTTCCATCCACTTTAAGTTAAAGAATTATTTTATGAGAAATTTATCTTCTTAACTGGTAGTTTAAAATTCTTTGGTTTTCGATTCAAGTAATTTAACGCATTTTCCACAATATATTCAGTAATTAAATCATTAATTGCCATAAAGTTAATATTGAAAGTATCCAAATTAGGCATCAAATCTGAGAAAACTGAAAAGTTAAGGAAATCAGACCATATTTATTTCTCTTAAACAAACTCATTTCGAGAAATATCTATATATTTCATAGGGTAATAATTTTTATATTACCTATTGTATTTTTATTAAAATTTTAACCAATTCTAACCGTTTGTATAAATAGATTTACAATTTGCATTATTCAAATTTGTTACTTGCATTTATAGCCTTTCTATATTTATATATTCAAAAAAATATAAATCCTTCAACAACAATTCATGTCCTTCATCTGCAATATATAATGAATAATAAAATACGATTATTTTTAGTTTTAATTAACAAGTGCTTTGTCTATTTTATGCCTCTATATCTTCTCTAAATTTTTAAGCTGGTTTAATAAAGGCTTTAACACTTGGAACTTTAAAATGTAATTAAAACAATAGGAGTTCTTCACAATTACTCTCTTCATTATAAACAAATTTTTCAGCAAGTAATGTCAAACCTTTTTCATTTAATTAAGTTTAAGAATTATATAATATTCCCATGTCTAATTTGAGTTATTTTATTTTATTTATTTAATTTAAAGTAGGTAAATTAGTTAAGACTTCATGATCTCTTAAGCTGATGCTACTGAATCCAGTTTTATCATTAAATACAAAATTATCAAGAAAAGATGGCAATCCATCACCTTTTAGTTTTTTTACATTCAATAAACTATCTTCTCTTAACTAAAATTCTTATTTAGAGTTTAAAAAAAAATTCTCAATTTCTTCTTTATTATCTAAGATCAAATCATCAAGTTTTAATTATTTCATACTTTTTAGTGTTAAAAATATAAAATCTAAAAATTTAACATCGACTTTTATTTATCCTATTAAATTAAGCTCTTCTAAATAAAACTAAGAATTTTTATTTTATATTATGTTTTCAATCATCTTTTCTAAAAGCTTATTCATATCTTTGTTTTTTGTGATATCTAATTTTTTTAATTTGCTGTTGAATTGAAATAATAATTCTAATATTTAAGAATGAATCTATAACTATTCTTCCTCATCATTAACTGAAATAATATATTGTTCTAAAGGAATATTTTGTTGATTGAACATAAGCTCTGAAAAATAAGCAGGTGAGAATTAAATTTCTTTGTTCATTTATAGCACTTTTATAGGTAGAACACCTCCTAAAATTACTTTTTCAAAAAATTAAAATGTTTCTCCTTCAATTAATTTTTCTTTGAAATTCAACTTTAAAATCTCCAATACATATTCAGTTCTATTAGGCAATTAATTTATGATCTATGAAACAATACCTTGATTGTCAAATCCAGATAATTCTAGATGTTTTAATTAAACATGAGTAGAACAAATAAATGTTTTTATAAATAATTTGATATCATTCTCATTTGCAGTTTTAACATTAAAATCTATTTTATTAATTTTACTTTTAAAATCTTTTACATTATTTTTATAACAATTATTTACAAGTATTTGTATTAATTACTGAGCTTTTTAAACATTAGACATAAACATACTTAAGTCAACATTTTAAAGTTTTATGGACTCAATTTAGCTTTCAACATTAATTATTAAACCAACTATAATATTGTAATAGAGTTTATCCTTTTTCTCTTATTAAGTAATACTATTAAATTCAAGATTAATTGAAATATCAAGCAGATTTGAAGGAAATTAAGGTTTAAATATTTAAAAATTATTGATTATTTTTTCTTTAATTTAAAGTTCAGTTTTTTAAACATATTCTGAATTAGAATTAATCATTTTTTCAATTCTATCTTCTTTTTATTATAAATCTTCATTTTCTATAGGTTAATCTTCTTTTGGATGATTTAAGACATTTTTAGAATTAAGTTCATCTTCATTTTCTTCATTATCACTTTGTATAATAAAAAGATCCTTTTTTTTATTTTGATCATCATTCTAATTTTACTCAAGTTAAATTTGAGCTTTTTATTCCATCAACTTATTAAAAAAATCTATCCATGCAGCTTCACCAATATTAGGGTTACCTTAAAGATTTATTGATCTCAAATTATAATATCTCCTAAATGATGTTGCAATACTCTTAATTTTTTTTATTTGATTAGATAAAATATTCAATAAATTATCATTCAGACTACAACTATTTAAAGTAATATGCTTGACTTATTATCTATCTTTATTAAAAATCACTTCATCTAAAAACCATTAAAATTATTGTTCTTCTAAATTAATTTTCTCTAATACAAAAGTTTCAATTGAAATAAGATTGAATTTTGAATAATTAGGGTTTTTTTTAAATATTTCTTATGTATCCTAAATAGATTTATTTAGCCCATCGCATGATTTAAATGTCAATTCAGTTAAAGTGCCGAGAATTAAAAAAGGAGTTAAAATATCCTTATCTGTTTTACATTCGATAAGGGTTAATTTTTTCAAATCAAATATTCCTTTCAGTATTAAGTCTTATTGTAAGTCAACTTATAAATTGTCATATTATAACAATTGATCTTAAGTATCCTAAATCTGTTCTAAATTATCTTTTAATTACTAATCAATTAAAGACTTAGTTGCTTCATCCAAAGCTTTTATGAAATTCTCATCTAGATTAATCTTTTGTAAAACTAATTCTTAAATTTTAATTTGAGTATTAAATATAATCTGTTGTAAAATAATATTCCATGGTTTTTAAGTAGTAATTGCAATTTCGCTTAGATATAAATATTTTAAATTTTCAAAAATATTATGATTTTTCTTCTTCTAATTATCAGTTGGGTTTATTTATTTTTCATTATTTTTAGGTTTATCTTAAGAATTTTCATTAAGATTATCATTTTAATTGTTCTATTATTGATTTTAATTTAAAATTGATTATTCTTATAAAATCTATGTAATTTATTCAGCAAGCATTTCAAATTTAAAAGTTCCTAATCTTAATTTCTCTATCCTTTAAAACTTTGAAAAAATTACATATTTAATAAAATTAATTTAAGCTGAATCTTCATTTATTGACTCTAAATGCAATTCTTTTATTGAAAGTTAAAATTATTCTTGATCTTTGCTATCGACAATTTATTAAAAAGTTTATTTATTCTCATCCTTTTATTCAAATTGTAAATTTTTTAAAACTAACTTTTTCAATCTAATTTAATCATGATACACAAATATTTCTAAAAATTAAAATATTTCAAAAGTCATATCGGACAAATCAATAAATTAAAGTGAAGTTAAACTATGAATAAAACTAGAAGGTTATTTTTAGAGATAAGCTATTGTAGCATCTTTATAAGCTGAAAAGCTATCAGACATACCCTCATTTTCAACAACTAATTCTTCCAATTTGAAATGATTAGTTAGAATTAAGCATTTAAATAACTCTAAACGAAAGTCACAAGTTGTTTCTTAAAATTTTAATTTTTTTAAAGTGTATTCAACATTTTTCATTGATTCATCTCCACTTTCTATTTTCTTATATATTTCCTAACAAGTTTCCAAAATTCCTTCTTCTCTCCCATTTTATCTAAAACATTTCACCAATTCAAAATTTTATATTTATAAAATGTCCCCTTTTTTCGTAAAAAAGAATTCATAAAAAAACTTTTTAATATATTATGGTTCCATTCTATAAGTTTAATTTGGCATAATCATAGTTTATATAGGTAATTTGTAATCTTCGAGCAATGGATTTTTTTATTACTCTTTTTAAATCCTTTCCTTAAATTTTATCAAAGTGTTTGTCCAAGCCTCTATTCTACCTATATCGCAATTTTAGATATCTATAAAAATAAATTAATAATAAGTAATACATAATAATTTAATATTGGTATGCTCAGTAAATACCACGCTTTCAAGAAACTTTTCTACTAGATCGTGTCTATTATAGTTTTCAACTGAGGATAAATTTAGTTTCTTAAAGTTATGTTTAATTAATTTACCACCTAAGAATAAAAATGTATTTACTTTTTTCACTTAATTTTTTTAAATAATCAGTTCTATTTTTAACTGCTTCAGCTAAAAAACTCAATTTATATAATGTGCTTAATTGTTAAATTAAGACACTATCAAAAATGATCTCTTAACAATGCAAAAGTATTTCATTTGCCAAAATTCCAAATGTCTTCTCTAATATTGAACTATTTTTGGATATGTCAAATACATTGACTCTTAATTTATCATATCTATCCCCAACTAAAGAGGTTACTATAGTTGAGTAATCTAATAATTTTTAGGATTAAATTTTTAATTCAAGTAAACCTTTTGCAGTAGATAAGTGTTGGCAAGTCTATTAAAAACTATTTAGAGTTCCAAGATAATTATCTGATATATTTAAACCACAAATTTATTCCAAATTGTCTAAATCATATGTCAATTAAATTAAATGTTCGAAACCTTAATAATTCTTATCGGTAAAGCAATTTTATAAATCAAAATAATAAAAGCATGTTTAGTCAATCTTATCTCGTGCTTATTAAATGATATTATTCTTTTCTTAGTTTGTCCACATTTTTTCTAGTTTTATAATTGCAATAGATTTTGAATCTTTATTCATCAACAATTCATATTCATAATATTCATTCTTATCATTTCTTTCTTTTAAATATACTTTAAGTTATTTTAGTAATTATCCTTTATAAATTCCTGGATTACTGATTATATAGAGCTAAATAAATTATATGTAAATACTCTCTTAAGATCAATATCTCTTTCAAAGAAGTAATAAATAAATTCCTCGAAATCTTCATCATCAATTTCATTTTGCTAAAATTCAAGAGTCAACTTTTTTGGTTAAAGCCAAGCAAGCCATTATCTTAATATAATTAAATGCTCTTTATCCATCTATGTGTCTACTATTGTTAACTCTCTTAAAGGATATAAAACTCTTAGTTTTGTTTCAATCATGATCAGATGTTCAACTTTAAAAGTACCTTTAAATCCTTTGAACCCTAATTTCCTATCCCATCCATTTTTCTTTAGCATCAACTAAAATTATGATTGCACTTATAGATACAAAAAAATCATCTAATTAAGCTTAAATTGTTTTTGAAGGTTCAAATACAAATTTTCCCTTTATTTTTCTAAAGTTTAACCTTTTGTCTTTTTAAACATGAATTGATGTTCTTTTCTTCAAACCTTAAACTCTAAATGCATTTTGTGCACCTTGGTTAATTATATTGAGCATAAATTAATAATCAATTAGAAAGATAAGTAAAAATAAACTAATATAGTGTAACTGTCACGTAATATAATTTATTCTGATTTCAACCGACAAATCAATTTATATAAAAAAGTTTTAAAAGATTTTATTTATGTTTTGACAGAATCGTTGTAAAACAATTCCATAACTCTATTTATTGGTGAAATATCAAATAAATCACCAATTAGTATATTCTGAAAAAAAGAGTTAGTTCAATTATTCTCAAACTAATTATATAAAGATCCAATTAGATTAAAGAATATAATTGATATATCTCCATAAATCAATTAAGGTGAAATATTATCCTAAAACTACAACATTGTATTTAAATTATATTTATTCAAATAATTAATCAATTTTAGTAAACTAATTAGAATCTATCATATTTTAAATTAAAGCATGATGATGAAATATAAAACAATATTGCTTTTAATTTTGAAGAAAAACATCTGGTTTATTCTTAAAAATACTTTTTACTTCTTTAAATTAGTTTTTAAAATTTTTACCATATATATCTTTATGTTCTATTTTTTTAGATCTATAAGCATCATGCTAAGAGAATGTAATGTTGTATTTATTTTAAATTAATTATTTATTTAATTTTAATATTAAATATAATATTCCTTACATAATCAAATTATTGATCTGAAAATAGAATTAAGAATTAAATGAAGAAATTCATATGATTGATAATTTTAGTTTAACAATTCTAATATTAAGATAGCTTTGAAATATTATTTCAATTAATCTTCAAATCTAAAATATGATTACTTCATTAAATTCAATTTATGATTAAAAATAAACAAATTTTAAGAATAGTACCTCATTTTATATATTTTTGATAAATTAATTTATGTTAAATTATCATCTTAAGATATAATAATAATTACTACTAGTTATAATAAATTTCATTTTAATGTAGTGTGTTAAATATTAAAATTATTACTTAAATTATGAAATACAAAAATGAATATATATATATTAATAAATTATGTTTTATTTTTGATTAATCTAATTAGCAATCAGAAATAAATTAAATTATTATTTTTGTTTGCTTTCCAAGAATAAAATTCAGATTTTAGAAATAGTTTTTTGATAAAATACTATATCGAATTTGAATCCATTTATTTTTAAAGTATTATCAAAAGCTAACACAATCATAATCGCATAATTTGTCAACCTAATTCCGCTGATTGTCATTTGATCATTTTTTTAATTTTATTCCTAAATATCATATAATATCTAGTATAATTAATTAAATAATTAAGCAAACTCTCTCCTTTAATATTTAACTTCTAATAGACAAAATATAAAAAAATGATAAAATAATAAAAACAATCTATATATTTGAAGGGAAAGTCAATAAATTAATATATCAGTAATTTATATTTATGATATTTTAAAATAATTTTAAGAATTAATTGATTTTTTATTTATTTAGAATATTGAAAATAGTATTTTATTATTAAAACTCTCAATTAAATAATATCAAACATTTATGAGTTGGTTACCAGTCATTATTTATACTTCCTTCTGCATTTATCAAACCTAATTTCTTAAACAAATTAAAATTAATTTAATCAATCTATTTAAGATTATTGTTTATTAAATGATAAAGAGAAACTAATTATTTTGTATTTAAGACCAGTGTATAATTCTATTTATATGTAACTTCAGCATATCCATATGCAGATAATTAATATATTTTTTTCTGTTCTTTAGGTAAATATTGTAATAATTAATTTGGAATATTTGAGATTATTTCAGCAGTCTATGAAATAAATTATGGAAAAGGTAAATATAGAGGTCTAATTGAATTTTAAGCTATTTTTAAATATTTCTCCAATTCTTTTAATTTATATTTATCCACTTATTTGTGATGATATTAAGACATCTTATTAATTTTAGCACTTTGCAGAGATAAATTAAAATTGGATCTATAAGGGGAAACTAATTTAAACAATTTTTCCATCATTAGATTAACAAAATGATCAATCGATTAAATCATACATTATGAGAAATAACCTATATTTTCATCTTGAGTTTCAAGTAAATTTTATAAGCAATCATGCTTTAATAAATATTCTTCTATTGTTTCATTTAATACAATTAGCATATGTTTTTCATTTTAATAGAAATTTTATAGATTATTTAGCTAAACTTTAAACTATTAAAAGAATTTATCAAAGTCTAAATCAAGATATTGTGAAAGAAATTCTTTATATTTAATTGCTAGTTAATAAAAGGAATTGATAGAATTATCTTTATCTTCTAGATTAGAAAGTTTTTACTTGAGTTTGTATTTGTATTTGTCTTCAATTTGAAGAAAAGTAAATAAATCAAGCAATTCTTAAGAATTTGTTTTAAAGTCTACAGTTTTAAGCTATTATTAGATAATGAATAATTTCAAATTATAGATAATGTAATTCTCTGATTCAGGATGGAGTAATTTGATTTAATATTATTCATTTTAAATGAATTATATAATATTATCTTTTGGTATTCTTTAAGTTATTGAATCAAGGTATGGTGTAAGAAATCGTGATTTGAAATAGTTGTTGTTGATATCTATATTCAAAAATTAATGTCCTTATTTTAAACAGATATTTTAAGAGCCACAAGCTTAAAGGATATTCAAATATAATGAATTCTAAATGATCGGTTGATTATCAATTAAATTTTCTTTAATAATTTGAAAGGCCTTAGTAAACAGTGACTATTAATTAATGAAAATACCAAGATAATACACAATATCAACTAGTATTTCCAATTATTCAGGAGAAATTGAATGATGACTCTGTATGTGTTTTCTTAGTATATCATAGTAAAACTCTTCTAATTCCAAATTTTTTTCTATATTCTACAAGAAGATCTAAGTGTGAAGCCTGGTGAGTAAGGATGGTTCAATAGTTTCTTTATTTACAAGTTTGTTGTAAATAAGTTAATACAAATCCTAAACTTAAGAAATCATATTTATATAAAATCAATATTGCTTAATATTAAATTTCCAACAATCTCTAATTATTCCTGATCAACACTGCAAATATCTAAAGAATCCTTCTATATAATTTTTTATAGATAAATACTAATATAGAATGAAATATACATAAACTACATAACAAAGAGATTTTAAATGTTAATAGATAATATATTTGAGAGACTTCATTATATAATATTACTATATGTTTTATGTAACTATATAATCTATAAATTTTAAGATGTTAAAGTTCTTATTATACTTCAGATCATATTATACATTTAAATAATAAAAAATATTATCAAGCATCATAAAATTCTTCTTTGTTTTCATCATAAACTTATGAAGATTTTGAAAATCTCTTAAGTATATATGAAACAAATGACAAAAATAAAATTATAAAAACGATACCATTAATCTATTATTTTTAGAATTACTAAATACCAACAAAAATGTTTCTTAGAAGAAAAATAACACTGGAACTTCTGTTTGACAATCATTAGGTGATTAATATATTCTTTCCCCAATAAAATAATAACAAAACTATATAGATTCCAAAACAAATATCCAAGAAGTTAAAAAAAAGATTAATAGCAATTTAAGCATATTACTTTGGAATTAAAGTAATAAGAATATAAGTTCCCCAAATAATTAATCCATATAAAACTAGATGAACAGATAGCTGAAGATTTTAATTGCATTTTTGTTCAATAAATTAAGTCTGAATAATTCCTGATGCTGATAGAAATATTAAATAGTAAAAAAAATGTGCACCTTCACTTGCTTTTAATTATTGTTTTGCTTTTATTTCTTTCATTTGTTATATTTATTTATAATATACACTTTAACGATGAAATACATAAATATTATAAAATAATATTATTAATGGTTTGATTGGTAAATGTGTATGTTTTTTGGAATATCTTGTAATTAAAAATTTTTTATTCACTATTTGATTGTAATTGATAATTTAATTTATTAAAATATAAATATTCCTTCAAACTTAAATATATTTTAATTTAGATTAGTATTCTCTACGATTCGATAAAAATTATATTTTTGGAAACTCATTATCTTAGATTGAAGCAAGAATAGAATTAAATTAATTAAAAATATAGTATTAAATAGATGAATTTATCAATAATTAAACCAAGAGTAATTATTTCAATAAGAGAACCCTGAAAAACAAAGATAAGAATAAAAATAGAGTTGAAATGATTCTGTTAATATAATTAATGATCATCATTTATTTTTTCTTAATTTATTAGGTCCAGCTCTCTTATTTTTTGTTTAATTTTATTATTTCTAAATGAGAGCTAAATAAATACTTCAAGTTTTTCAAGAGCTTTTTTCTTAAATTCCTCAACTGATAATATTTTATCTCCTTCTATGTCATCATCCTCATGTTCATCTAAAATAATTTAATTTAAATTACCAAATTATGGTAATTCTGCTCTATTTTTATTTTAAAGATTCTTCTCATTCATTTATGCTAATTATTATAATGAATTGATTTAGTTTTCTGATATTTTCTAATGAATTTATTAATAGTATTGCAATAATTTATTAGTTTTATTTTCTATTAATCCTAAATAAATCATCATGTTAGTATCAGTAACTCCATGAGATCCTGCTATTTCTGTTGCCATTTATTTATCACATTCAACTGTATTAAATAGTGTTTCTATCCAATTCTAAATAATAGAAAGAAATGAGATACTGTTAAACTATTAATAAGTTTAATAGATTCATTATATTTGAATTCATATGATTCTGATTTCTATTCTGATCTTGATAATTTCTCCTCTAAATCTTTAAGATGTCTTTTTCTTTAAACATCTACATTAGAACCTTGACCTTCATATAATGATGCTTCATCTTTTAATTCTCCTATTTGTTTTTCTAGATCTTCAATTTCGTTACTTAATTCATTGACATATTTAAACATTTAAAAATTCTATTATCACTATAAAGTATAATTTTACTTTTTCTTCATTTTAAATAAATATTTTGATTAATTCATCAAAAACTTTAATTTAAGTAGCTGCCTAAATTTTAGCAAAGTCTTCTTCATATTTCATTATTTATTCAACAATAGTTTAATTGACAGTTTTATCTCTAGTCAATTTATTAGTTTTTGGTTTAGTGAATTTATCAGGATCAACAACTTCTTATTAATCAATTTCTCTATTTTTTTCTGTTAATTTCATATAATCTAATGTTTTTTTATTTTTTTCCATAATTTAACTCAATTCTCTTAGATCTTTTTCAAAATCAGCAGATTCTCTTTTTGCTTATTATTTTAAACTTTAAATTAAATCATTTGCTTTATCTCTTTCTTCATAAGCTGTATTAGCAGTTTCAATTATATCTGCCATTTCCTATAATAATATTAATATATTAAATATACTTTTCTTTTTTCATGTAATTCCTTTTCCAATTTTTTATAAAGATTATCAAAAATAACTCTTTCTCTACGTAAACTATCAATTTATTATCTTAATTATTTATTGATAGCAATAGCTTCATTAAACTTTTGATTTGTTTTATCTAATCTATTTTCTAAAATTTTAATTTGTTTTTGTAAAGCACTTTCATTTTCTGCTCCTGCATTGTATCCACCTAAAGCATGTCTTTTTTCAATAATTTTCTTTTGAAAATCAGCAACATGTGTATCAATCTCTTCCTAAACTTTCTTCTCTTCATTAATTGCAACTTTCAAATCATCAATTATTGTATCAATATTAGGTCCTTTAGAATATGTAGTTTGATTTAATTATAATTTTTAGGAATTCATCTTGGCTATTAAGTCCTTTAGAATATAATTTTCATTCTTGAGCTTATCAATAATTCCTCTTTATTTTTTAATGTTTGCAACAGTTTCTTCAGCATATGCCTTTCTATCAGATTCTAAGTTTCTAAATTTCTTCTATTGCTCTAATAATTAATCTTAAGTATTAATTTCTTTATCTGCAATTTGATGGTCTATACCTTGATTCTAATCCTGTTACATTTAATAAAAAATACTCTAATTTAAATTATATATCAAAATTAAATTCTTTTCTGTAGAGATCAACTTTTTAAACAAAAGGGATAAATAATTTCTAAATTGCTGATAAATATTATGATTCTTACAATAATTCCTTATTGATTTCTATTTTTTAATATATAATTTAAATTTAATGAATATTTCAAAAGGAAAACCTTAAGCACAAAAGACAGGTTCTAATTTAAAATATAAAAATTAGGTGCTCCTAATTCTAGTATGAATTATGGTATGGGAATGTCTGGTATGGGAATGTCAGGAATGGGTATGTCTGGTATGGGTATGTCTGGAATGGGCATGTCTAATGGAATTTAAAGTGGTATGAATATGTCAGGAACTGGTGGGTTCTCAGGTATCAGTAACTAACAAAAATAATTTGGCATGTCAAGTAATGTTTCAGGTAGTATGGGATTCTCAAATAGCTCTGGTTTTAAATAACCATAATAGCAATAAAATCAAAAAAACAAGTTTGGTTAGCAATAAGGAATGGTGGGAATGAATAATGTTTAATATGGAAATATGGGTTAGATGAATTAAATGTAAATGGGATAAATGAATTAAATGTAAATGCAAATGGCATAAAATTAAATGAAAAAAGGAATGGGACAAATGGGAATGGGATAGATGGGAATGGGATAAATGGGAATGGGATAGATGGGTATGGGTATGGGAATGGGAATGGGAGGTTAAATTAATTATGAAGATGATGAAGACCAAGAATCAGTGCTTTTAGAAGAAGAAATAGATGAACATTATAGACCTACTAACTAAGGTATTATTTTAACATATGAAACCTTTTAGAAATCAGAGAATATGCTTATTTTTTAGGGATGGAATTACCTGAAGATAATGATCTATTATATATAGCTAGAGAGGGATTGATGGCTCCATTACCTGAATCTTGGTAATAATATACATAAATTCAAGGAAACCATATTAAAATAGAAATAAGGAAATTTCATATCTTAATTTAGTCACAAATTAAAGATAAGAAGAGCATCCTTGTGATGAATATTATAAATAAATGTTTTAGAAAGAAAAATAAAAGAAAATTGAGAAAATGGCAAAAGATCAAGCTAAAATTGTTAAAGAATAACTACTAGGTAAAGAAAAAGAGCCAGAAATTGCAAGTAAAAATTTATTTTATAATTAAGTTTAACCTATTGTTTAATCTGATGTTTTTAATAAGGATTAAGATCCATTATTAAAATAAACATAAGAAAAGAAGTTATAATAATATAGAGAATAAAAGAAGAAAGAATTTGAGGAACAAAAGAAGAAGATTGATAAAAAGATTGAATAATAGAAAAAAGAAGCTGATTAAGAATATGAAAAGTAATTAGCTAAATTAAAAGAATCAATAAAAGTTAATTCTTCAAAATAGAAATAAGAATTTGAAGAAAAGTTAAAAAAATTAAAAGAATAAGAAGAAGAGTAAATGTTAGAATTAGAATAGTATGAAAGGGTTTCAAGAGCCAGTTTAGAAAAGACTCTTTAATCGAGATTAGAAATTGAGAAAAAAAATTTAAAATAATTAGAAGAGAAATAAATGGAAAAAATTGATGAAGAATATGAGGAATAATTTAAGAATTAAAAAAAAGATATTGAAACAAAATATGAAAAAGAATATTAATCATTAGTTGAATAAGAGAAATAATTAAGATTTGAAACAACTAATACTGTTTATGATGAAGAGAAAGAATTGGAAATATTGAAATAAAAATTTAAAGAAGAAGAGGACAAGAAATTTGAAGAATTAAAAAAAGCTAAATAAATTTAAATTGATGAATAAATTGAATAATTTAAAAGATAAGAATAAGAAAAAATAAATTAAGAATTAGCTATTTTAGAAGAAGAATTAGCTAAAGAAAAAAAAACAAAATAAACTTTTGATGAGAATTAAATTAGATAATAATATTAAAAAGAATTTGAAGATGAAGAATAAAGATTAAATGAAAATTTAAAATAAAAATTAGAAATAGAAAAAATGAAAATAAAAAAATAAATTAAAGAATAAGAATCAAAATAAAGAAAAGAAATTGATGATCAAATTAATAAAGAATTGAGAATATTAGAATAGTAATTTGAAGTTGAGAAGAAAAGAAAAGAAGAAGAATTTGAATTAGAAAAATAAAAAATAGAAGAAAAAGCTAAAGAAGAATTTTATAGATATAAGAAAAATTTTGAGGATTCTGCTTAATAATAAGAATTGTAAATTAGAGAATTTTTTGAATAGGATTAATTTTCAAAAAAATAAAAAGAATAAAGTTTATTAGAAAATATTGAATAATTAAAAAAAGAATTAAATATGGTTAAAAATGAACATAATAAATATAAATAAGAAGTAGAAGAATTGTAAATTCAATTATAATAAACAAGTTAATCAATAGAATATGGATAAATAATCAATAAATAAAAATTTGAATTAAAATAATTAACATAATAAGAAAAATAATTATTAGAATAAATTGCATAAAAATAATAGAAAATTTAAGAAATTAAAAAGAATATCAATAATTTTAATTACAATAGTAAACTTTTTGGGGAAACAAATTTATCTTCTTTTGGTTAATTTGGTGGTTAAATAGATAATTTGAGAAATAAAATATCAAATAATAAATCTCCTTTTGAAATAGAAGCTGCAATTGCTTAATTAATGATTTAAATTAGATAATAAAAGGATCAATTGTTGGCAGATTAAAAAATGGTTTAAATGGATTTAGATAGATTAATGAAATCAAAATAGGAAAATTAAGATTCTTATTTAGAAAGTATGAAAAATACAGGAAAAGCTAAGTTAGAATAAATATAAGAAAAATTAAGGTAATTAAGGTATTGTTATTATATATATATAGTAAAACTGAATAATGGGTGAAAGAGAATTAATCTGTTTTGAATCAATAATGACTTTATAGAATATTTAAGTAAATCATACTAATCTGAATATTATTTATTTTAATGATTAATCTCCTCTAAATGTTGCAACAATAAAGAAGTCCATTTTATGAAGAATTGTCCATTTATGAAGATGGAAGAAAAGTAATTTTTAATTTTAGAAGTAGATGTTAGAAAGATCACTAAGAGAAAAAGGAGGTATGGAGTACTATTTGATATCAAAAAAATTCATAAAATAATGGAAATATTATGTAGATTATGATGAGGAAATGGATGAATATGAAAAGGACACTCGATAAAAAGTTTTGAATTTAAATATGAATAGCCCGATAAAATCAATTCTGATTTAATTAACCACGAGAAATTGTTTAAGTACTTTCCTGAAGGTCATATTTATAATTCTAGCATTCGTTATTTGGAAAATGAATGGGATTATGAAATTGTAATTTATGTAATAGAAATATAGGTTTTGAAAGAAGTATATGAATATTTTAAAGCAAATTATTAATCAATTGAACCCTAAATAAGAGTAGGGTTTTATAATGATAATCTTAAAAGAAAATAGATATTCCCTAACTTAGCAAGAGTATGAATATTATTAATTTAAGTTTACTTTAATTTATTGGTCTCCTATAGATAATAAATTAAATACAATAATAGCTTAAGTTGATTACAATTCTGAGATTAAGGCATGGACAAATTTACTTAGAGATACATTTTAAGAGTTATTCAAACCAAAAAAGATAAATAATGTTCGTATTTGGTGTCCACGACATAAAACATTTAAATAAGACTTATTAATTTAATAAATAATAAAAACTAAATAAGTAGATGGTGATATTTTGGATGATAATATGATGATATTTCAAATGTAAAGTTAAAGGAATAATTGTTTAATTCTTGATTTAGAAATGAATGATTGGTAGTTTACAAAGTTTAAAAAAACAGTTGAGTATGACAACGAATTATTGTTAGAAATAGCATTATAGGGTTGTGGTTAATTAGTGTGTGAATTTCCATAATGCAAATTAAATAATGGATTTTTAGAATTAGGTTTTGGTGAAGAAGATATCAAAGGAATTTGTTAAGTTTTAATTGAAAATGAAGAAGTAAAATGGGAATTAATGTGTTCAAAATAAAAAAATTTAGATAAAAATTTAATTCCATTTTAATAGAGGGATAATAAAATTGATATAGTTTAATACTTATTGAAAATATCTAATTCTTTAGAATTATTTGGATTTTCCTTTGTGGAAAATTTTAATAAGAATTAAGGAATATATTAGATTGACTAAGAAAATCCAGAAATTAATTCCTCATTAATTTAATTGACAGATAGCTTATTAAAATAATAAAAAGAAAACACATTACAAATAATTAAAAATTTATTCTCCAAAAAAGTGATGGATATTGAACCACTAACAAATTTATATTAACTTAGAGCACTCTACTTGATTCTATAATTTAGAGGATGTCTTAATGTTATTCTAGAAGAAAAATCTTAAATTATATTGACTATAATTAGAAGGTTAAGTTTATAACATTTAAATTAATTATCAAAATGGCTTACTAAACTTGATAAATCTGAACTAATATAATTATAATAGATAATAAAATATTTGATTGAAGACCAAATTAAAATCCAATAAAATGCTCCCATTAGACCCCTATTAGAAATTGATGATATCTCAAGAATTAAAGGACTCTTTGAATTATATAGCTTGATTTATAAATCAAACCTAAGGAATCGTAGAATCAAAGCTTCTGACTTTATCATAAATTCCATATAACATTTTTACAAAGTCGATGCAGATAGAGAAGAATTCACATAGTTTTAAATGTTCAATTAAAAGATTTTGAGAAATTACTCTTTTACTTTTTGTCAATATGCTTGGTCTATGCCAATAGAATTTAAATCTAAGCTTCTTTATATCGAATGTAAAGTGAAGCAGTATGATTAAAGGAGAAGAACATATGGTCTTTTACCTTAATATGTATCCTTAACTATAGAAAGAGATAATATCATTGAATCTGCTATTAAATAGTTACAATAAACTTAGGTATCCTTGAAG